CAGAATCTGACTTGGTGTAACTTGAGCCCTGCACTCTGGGATGAGGAAGAGATCCTGCCCTTCCTCTTTGTATCAGCCTTTCAAGTATTTGTATCATCTCTCCCCTCAGGCTTCTCTTCTCAAGGCTGAAGATGCCCAGTTCTCTGACTCTCTCCTCCCCCTAGGGCTTTGTCTCCAGTCCCTGGATCATTCATGCTACCTTCCTCTGAGCCCTTTCCAGCTTGCTTGTCTGCATCTTTCTTAAATGGGGTGCCCAGAACTGAATACAGTACTCCAGGTGAGGCCTAACCAGTACCGAATAAAGGAGAACTAGTACTTCAAAGAATTTGGACTTTATGCTTCTATTAATACAGCCTAAAACAGTATTTGCCCTTTCTAAAGAGTCTATCCTTCAATCGTTGAATTCCAGTCATGGGAGTCATTCCACCAAATTTTGGTTATATCAGGTTGTATCCTCTACCAAGAGTTCAATTTCATGCTGTTTCCCATATTCCAGACTTTAGAATATAAACATCAAATACCATGTGCTTTATACTCCTTCCTACATGTTTTAGAAAGCCACTTGTCTTGTCTTGTGGTGCATAAGGTTTTGACTGTTTTTATGTCCAGATGTACTTCTCCCTCCCCTGCAGGGTTCAATTTAAAGCCCTCCTGATAAAGTTCTTCATGCTGTGGCCAAACACATTCTTTCCAGTCCTTGCAAGGTAGAACCCGTCCTTTGCCTGCAGTCCATCTTCCAGGAAACATAACCCTTGGTCCCAGAATCCAAATGTCTCATGTTGGCACCACCTTCGTAGCCATGTATTCACTTGGAGTATTTTTCTTTCCCTGTCTATTCCTCTTCCAAGAACTGGAAGGATTGAAGAGAAAATTATTTGGGCCCAAAAGTTCTTGACTTTCTTCCCTAAAGCTTCAAAGGCTGGTGTGATTCCTTCAAAGTTTCGCTTGGCTGTGCCATTTGTTCCCACATGTATAAGAAGGAAGGGATACATGTCAGTGGACCGTATGAGCCTCAGCAATCGCAATCTTCCAGTTATAACATTAATCTGTCCTCCAGGGAGACAGCATACCTGACAAGTCCACAGGTCATCCTGACATACATGTGCTTCCATCCCACACAACAGGAAGTCTGCAAACGCCCCTCTCTTCTTGTTCTGGTAAGCCTTGATACATTGTCGTTACTTGGTTGACCTTTAGCCTCTGGTTCAGTGTTGCACAGGATGTCTTACAGTTCTTCTACAGCAGGCTTCCTTCCAGGCTCACCCCTGAGTAACTGAAAGCAGTTCAAGAATTCTACTGTTTCTACTGGTGCAGAGTGCCTTCTAGCTCTTCTGCACCTGTCACTCCTTTCCAGGGAGTTTCTGCCTCATTTTCCCTTCCCTCAGGAGTCTCTTCTTCTGCCTCAACCTGTGTTGCACTTCTAGCTTCTATATTGTCCTCAACTACTGCAGTTCCGCCACTCTGTTTAAGAACTCTTCATCTTCTTTTATTACCTCAAGGGTGGATACTAGCTGCTCTAGTGTTCTCACCGTTTCTTCTAACAGGGCTACTACCTTGTACTTTTGCAAGCATAGTTCCTGCTGATTGCACAGACGTTGCAGGTCACCACCACTGGGGAGTCTCCTCAATCCATTCTTTCTGCTGCCTTTCTGATTCTACCTTGCTGGACCTGTTTTAACAACTGGTATTTATTCCGGTATTTATTCTTTAGAAGGCCAGATGCTGAAGATGAAACTCAAATACTTTGGCCACCTAATGAGAAGGAAGGACTCCCTGTAGAAGACCCTGATGCTGGGAACAATAGATGGCAAAAGAAGAAGGGGACGGCAGAGGATGAGGTGGCTGGATGGGGTCACTGAAGCAGTTGGTGTGAGCTTAAGTGGACTCCGGGGGATGGTGGAGGACAGGAAGGCCTGGAGGAATGTTGTCCATGGGGTCGCGATGGGTCGGACACGACCGGGGCTAACAACGACAACAACAACAACAATTTATTCCTGTCTTCCCTGAAGGTTAACAGCACAGTCCTAGCAGTGTGTTACAAGGAAGAAAATGAAACTAGTCGGGGGGGGGGGGGGAGTTGTTAAGGCCCTCTCCTGCTGAACTCCACTGCCAAATTCTTGCTTTCTCTGCCTGTTTGCTCACTCCCTAGGAGCTCAGCTGCTTGTATCTCAGAGTCGCTCAAGCAGCTGGGGCCGCCTCTTCTGATAGGCTCAATTAGGAAACAGGAACCAGATTTTTCACGTCTGGAGCCAAGTATGGGAAACCTCCAGCTTATGGATCAGCTCTGGCCTATGATCCCAGCCCATCCATCACAAATTGCCCTGAATCAGACCCAAGTTTACTATTTTAGGATGATGTTTGGAAGTGTTGCTGAGCAATACGTTCCTGATTACTTCTGAGTAGAAGAGCAGAAGCCTTGTGCTGCTTATTTCTGACTAGGCTTGGCATGGTAATAATCATGTGTGGCCTCGACCTCTACTGAGATTGTTCTCATTTGGCTCTTGGGCTGGAAATGTTCCTCACTCCTGCCACAGACCATCTTGGTGGGCGAAGACATAAATTAACTCTGGCAACCATGTGCTGCAAGTTTGGTTTGACTGCCTAAAGGTCTGAATCTCCCAGTGGTCCAAACAGCCTACAGGAGTTTGAAAACAACCCTTCTGAAAGAGCCCCAATATTCATGCTCTGTCCATGATTTTGATGCCTTTGAGCTATGGGCACCAGTTCTTTGACAAGCATCTCTCCTCCCTGGCTTGGCCAGGTGGGCTACCTTTCCTTCCACCTCCAATTACAGCAGCAACTGAGGTTCTCCTTGGATACCTCTCCCATTGAATTCCAAGGCAGAATAATGAGAAGTTCTAACAACCCAGGAGTCAACTTCCTTCCCAGTTTCCAGATTGCCTGCCTACCTTGCAAATTGTCCTTTCATGTGTTCCCAAAGAGGCTATTTCTAATGTCAGTCAAAAGACATTCTGCAGCTATTCTGCTTTCCCCAGATTTTTTTTTTTTTTTTTTGCACGAAAGCGGGGCCAGGCAGTGCTGGGAAAACACGGGATGATTCCACAGTGAAGACAGCAACAGCTGGATACTCTAAAATTCTGAGTTCAAGGCAGGGTAAATAAAATGATACAAGTCTGGTCTGGAAGCAGATTTGGTTCTCCATTATCAAAATTCTCACTTGTGTGCTCACAATACCAGGGATATCCTCATTTGGCTTCCTCTCGTGTGCAGTATTATACTAGCTGTGTCTCCAACTTGTTCTGTGTCATGACTTGACTGCGGTTAGTCACCATCTTTCATTCCAACAAAGAGAAGGTAGGTAGGCCACTCCCATTGACTTCAATTGATTTCTTGAAAACTTCTATCATCATTTTTCTTGGCACCTCACTGGCATATCATTTTGCTCTACCAGTACAAAGGATTCACAGGAAATCACAAGATTCACCCGTTAGTAGGAACTTGTGGATTCATGTGACCTCATTTGCCATCAAGTCTATTTCTTTGAAATGTGTTGTTTGGTTTATGGGGAGCTTTTTCTACAACCACTTATCTGCCTCATTCATTATGAGATGGGAGGGGAGAAGCACCAACAGACCTATGCAAGTGTCCCTATGTATCCCCATGCAAGTGAAAAATCTTAATCCATTCTTAAATGTGATTTATAAGAAGCTTGTTTTGCTAAGCACTGGGAAAACAACAGAAACAGAGCACAATAAGCTCTGGAAGCAATTAACTAATCCAATTAATGGCTATTTAGTCCTTTGTAATTAGCACAACATGTATTTCACAGCCAGGCACTGTGGTCACTTGCATAACAGAATACGCCTCCAATCTCAAGCTCCTTATTTTCTCAGGGTACGGAATGTGCTGTGTCTTCGGCCACCCAAATTCTGAATGTGACACTGCCCTTGCCCTGTCCCTGGGCTACAACCATGCAATTTTGTTAAATACATTCACACAGATCAGAACCTGACCTCCCAACACAGTTCTCCTCAAAAGGAATATTACTTTACAACCATGGGAGCACCTATTCTTATGCTTTCAGCTCTCATCACAGAGCAGCAAAACTAGATTTGCCACGAGGTAAACATCACAAGTCTCCAGCCCCATCTCAGTTTCCTAGCAAATTTATTCATACAAAAAGTATAATTTTCCTGAGTCATGGCAGCCTTTCAATCTTCTTCTTCTTCTTCTTTTTTTTTTTTTTGGAGGGGGGTTGCCTCTTCTTTTGAATCTGTTTCTTTCTTCTTGATACATTTGGAGTTTGGAGGGAATGTCATGGCTGCTCTCACAAAATGGCTGCCATGAGGCCCTTGCCATTCACAAAATGGTCACCATGACTGGTCACACAAGAATATAAGAAAAGTCATGCTGGGTCAGACCAAGGGTTCTTCTAGTCCTGCACTCCATACACGTGGTGGCAAACCAGCTGCCCACAGGATCGCTCCAGCAGGAGGGGTGCAAGACCTCCTCCTGCCCAAGCTCCTCAGCAACAGGTGTGTGCAGGCAGGCCACCTCTGGTCAAGGAGGGAGCACACAGATGGCAAGGCTAAGAGCCGCCAATGGCGTCCTTCCTCATGAATCTGTCCAGTCCCCTTTTAAAGCCATCCAAGTTGACGGGCATCACCACCTCCCATAGCAGCACACACAAAAGACTTGTTTCCAAGAAGGGAAACTGCTGAGAACTATTTCCCAAGGCCCTGAGTGCAATGAAAGAGACAGACCCTGAGCTCTAAAACACATCAATGCCCTTTTGAACCCAATTAGAGGGAGCTCTGGAAGGTAGCACTTCACTGCCAGCCTTCCTGTCAATTAAATTAACAACAGTCTTAAGACAGGGAATAAAACCCCAAAGAGTTAGGGAGCCTGGCAAGTGCCAAAAGAGGGCTCTGCAGCTATGACTGTGCACAGTCCAGCTCTAAAATATCTTACAGGGATACTGTAAAATGGGCAGGACTGAAGCGGTCCTGTTGCAGAAGAGCGTATACACAAGGCCTCACCCAGTCCATGAAGTACTGCCACGGTCAGTGAAGGGTCCCCTTCAAATGCTCTGAATGCATCCAGCAGCAGTCGTGCCGTCTCCTGGTCCACAGCGTTCCTGACCTCGGGCCTGTTTATGCCAATGGTCATTATGGTTCCACGTATTTCAGTAATTATGTTACTTTTCCCTGAGATTGCAGAATAAATAAAACAGCAATACTTAGGAACAATTCCTTTCTTTTTAAATAATTTAATTCAAATTGATTTAAATCACTAGCCAGTAAAACTAGATTTAAATCATGGTTTTCTACATAATTTGCACACATGCCTGCCTTACCCACAGGCTGAGGAACTTCATTAAAATATTCCCAAACTGGGTTTATTTTACAGCTTGTTGCCATTACAGGTTTTTTCCCTCCAGGGATAGAATAATATGATAAAACTCAGGTTATACTGTATTTTTCGTGTATAAGACTATACTTTTTCTTAAAAATATTTACCTAAAAATGGAGGGGCGTCTTATACACGGGGGGCTGAGAGGAGAACCACAGTTGCGAAACTGTCGATACCTTATCTCTGCAAACTAGCCAAACTTCCAATTGCAGAGACAAGCTAACAGGTTTCCTCCAATCATGAGCCTTATGCAACTGATGTCAGCTGATGCTGCGGAGAGCGTGAAGCCAGCGCCCAGATGCGACAGGGAACGGGACTCAGCCGACAGCAGTGATGCAACAGAAGTTGAAGAAACTGGTATGTTTGAAACTAAAAGGGATGAAGAAGAAACCAGTGATGTAATAGAGGCTGAATAAAGTTATTTGCTCAGAGCTCAGTGTGATGCATAATATCATAGTACTGGTATGTAAACATTGCCTAATCACTAAATAAAATGTCTTCTAGTTAATGTTTAAAATATTGATTTCTTAATGTTGGGTAAGAAAAGTGGGGTGGGGGCGTCCTATACATGGGGGCATCTTATAGACAGAAAAATACGGTATGCAAAATGATCCAAGCACTTCTGATCAAAAGGTTTCACTTTCATTTTTGCTGCTTGCCCCCCCCCCCCACTTACCCTTACCTTCTTGTGCTGATCTTCTCTACTCCCAACCATCTATTCATTGATTTTTTTAAAAACTTGGCACTTAAGAGGTAAGGGGTTGATTCTGTCTACATAGATTTGCAAAGGAACAATGGGATTAAGGTCTTTTTATGTTTATTTGATGACATTTTTGCTGTGAAGAAGAGGCATGTGATCTGTACAGATACGAATTCACAGTTTTGAGAACTGTAAAACCAAGCATCTGTGACAATATCTTCTAAACTGCCCAAACTGCCCAATTCCATTGGCATGGAAGAGCATGACACTGTGAAAACATCAATGGAATTCATTTACCAAAAAAATTAAACATTGCATGAATATACAGCCTTTGGCTACATAATTAAAAACTAATCATTTCATGATAAATAACCTTTGGACTATAATGTATTTTAAACAGAAACCTATCTTTAAATAGATGTTTTCTCAAAAAGCATTTTATTTTTAAAAAATTCAATTAATTTTTTTAAATCAATTTTTTATTTTTTAAAAAATCTTGATTTTTATCCACCCTGTCATCTATTCATATGTCAAACTAAATTTAAAATATTGGCTGAAGGATTAACGAGTAGCATTGTTAGAATAGTCCATTTTAAAAAATGAACTCAGCTCAAAGTCCATATAACACATTTACAATTTCTTCATAAATTCCACTAACTGCATGGATGGGATTTAATTTGTTTAGGCTGCAAGATATTTTTCCCCTTCTAAAAACAAAAAACAACCACCACCAAAGGCAAGCATTTCTCAGGCTTGGATACAAGCAATAAAATTAAGACACAAGGCATTTCCTGGGGATTAATAATAACGGACAGCTGGGGTTTTTTTAAATGCACTGAGGCAAGGCAGGCAATCACTAATTTGCAAGAAAACATTTGGGGTTTACATTATGTCTATGAAATGTGTTTAAGGAATCAAGCTCAGCATAGCTTGCAAGTCTCTAGGGCCAAAGGTCTGCCAAGCTCTCATTATTCCAGCCACAGCTCTCTCTCAACTTGGGTACCCTACAGATATCTTGAACTTCAACTCCCATCAGCTCCAAGCAGCATGTCCAATAATAAGGAATTCTGGGAATTGCAGTCCAAAGTTCTGAAAGGAAAAGTTGTTGAAGGCCATGCCCTGCAGAGAGAGAAGAGAGTGCTGGTGATGAAGGAGCAGGATGGAGAGTTCTCCACATGGAGAATTGCTCAAATTCCACTTTCCAGCATGAAGAACCGCAAATAACAGCAAGCAGAAGTAATTTGTACATGTCTCACTTCCAGGTCATACAAGGAAGGGTAGTTATTTCTGTCCATAACTGCAGATGCAAACCTCTCTCTAAAGGCTGTCTGCAACCAACGCTTCGGGTTTCAGCAAGTTAAAAGCCCGAGTTGCATCCAAAGCATGAGGACGCTTGTGCAGAAGGAACTGCCAATGGCGCCCCCACCCCCACCCCCACCACAGAGCCAAAATCAGGACAACTTGGGTGGAGGGTGCCTGACCTGATTTCCTCATCCCACTGCATCCTCCTGCCAGTGGTGAAGCACAGCCAGGACCTGCTGGGCTGCAGCACCAGCACGTTTTAATTAGCAGAACTCTGACATCATGTGCCACATACCTCAGAATCCCATGTTCCTATGTAAGCTGTGCTATAATGCAAAGCATTTTGGGGTGGCCTGATTATGAATAGACAATCAAGTCACATTTTTAATAGAATCCTGGCAGAGGTGAAAACCACTTGAATGTATTTGTTGAAATATATTCACAGAGTTGCCTGCATTGTTGGCCTCTTCCTGAATGTGTAGCTATGGGGACTTTTTCAGTGAGTACCTGCACTTCAAAATTTCTTCTTTTTATTTTTTTGGGTGGGGGGGTCCACAGAGAGCTGCAGCAAGGTAGAAGCAGTGTATGATTCTCCACGCACAATTGTGTGAGCCCAGTTTTGGATGCAACCCCCATTCTAAGCATTCCTGAAACATCCTTAATCCAAAATGAATTTGTTAATTCACGTGGCATTATTGCAAGTTAATGCTATTGAAACTGACAATGGATGTTTAACATTTTCTTGCCTGTATCCTTATGCTTCTCTCCGTACTGCTCATCCAAAGGCAGCTAAAGTCATAATGCTCTTCCATGACTGACTTTTGGCCAATTATGAGACAATCCTTTTGCCTTCACAGAACAATAGGAATTAATTCATTTAATTAGTAAATCAAAAGCAGTTGTTATTCTGGTTCCTAATAAAACAATTTATAGTGGAGGCTACAACCAGCACAAGATGCAGAACTAATTTATTTTATTGTCTAGTTTTTAAAATATGCACAGGTTTTTAATGACACATTTCTTAGCTTATGTCCTATCTCACAGACTAGGTACTACTGATGCATTGACAAAAAAGACCACTACAGCCAAAGTCTACAATACAAAACTTACATATGTAAAGGTTTCAGTAATATCAGCACTTTGAATTTGTTGATGTTTCATTAACCCCTGAAATGTATTTTTTAATTTAATGTAGTATTGGTGACAGTCTGTTATTTGTACCCCAGCTGTCTATTCTGCCCATTTTTAGATGAAGGACCTCAGTCCATGCAAATACTCCTTCACATTTCACATTATTAGGGCCATTTTGCATGCTATGAAATTATGTCTGTGAGTATTCACAATTTGACTGTAACATGATAATATTACACACTTTGGGAGATAATTGTCTAGGGAGGAAAATAGTTCCTAGGACCGTTAGTGTGTATGGTGGTTATGTACTATCAAGTCATCTCCAACTTATGGCAAGCCTATGAACAAGAGCCCTCCAAAATGTCCTTTCCATGGCATCTCTTCTGAGCAGCTCATGTGTACAGAACACCTTGACCAGTTTAGCCCTTGTTTATACCCTGCCTTTCCACAAGAGTTACCAAGGCGTTGTACAAAAAACACTGAAATAAACAGCTTGCAAACAGTGAAACCACACTACTAGGTTTTGTAAAGTGCTAAGCACAATTCAGGAAGCAAATTGAGAATATGTATGTTAATGCCATTTCCAAAAGCTAAGAGAGTAAAGTTCACCTTAAAAGCCAGCATTGTCTGAACTTACTCACATTTGCATGCTTTTCAATTGCTAAGTAGGCAAGAAGTGGGACAGAGCAGCAGGCCCTCATCCCTTGCACAGATTTGAACTGCGGACCTTCCAATCAACAGTCCAGTGGCCCAACAGTTTAACCCACTGCACCACCCACGTCCCTATTCAGGGGTAAAGTGCATGAAATGATCTGAACAGGGTGGGATGAAGGCACAAATAACTGTTGACAAATCAGACAGAATCAGGGAAAGTATACACACTTGCACCTCAACACTCCATGCCACTGGCACCAAAATATACAAGGGCAGCATAGGTCCAAGGAGCACTTCCAAGCTGCATGCTTCATCTTTCAGGAGGAGCAAAACCCTTCCAGAAAAGGTTGAATTTCAGTCCCCACACCTAACCTTCTACAGCAATTCCACCTTGTCTAGATTTGTTTACCTTATCCAAACCATTATGAAGCCTGGGAAACTTTCAAGGAATATGTTTAAGAGAGGGAAATTCCTCAGTTCTTCAGGAATCTATGAGAATCATGGCTTTCAAATTTATTAAATGGTACCTTTCTATTCCTCCGGATTGCAAATAAATAACTTAAACTAGTGAACTTCATAGCAGAACTAAGACCCAAATCTCTAAGATTTAAGAAAATCTCTATCTGACTATTCTACTTAAGTATCTCTGATTAGAGATGTGCACCCACCCAAACCAAACATCATTACCACTTCTCTCATTCCAGAGGAACTACAGTCCTGACCTGTGATGAACTCACTATGATGAGCTAAGGGTACAATTCTAGGCACGTTTTCAACAGAAAAAGTTGTACAACTACCAGCATCCCTGGGCCAACTATGGAGATGTATCACTTTTTATCAGTTTACACATGTACAGGACTGTGACCCAAGTGGCATTAAGCATAGCTTTCTCACCTTTTCCCCATTGCATTAAAATTCCTTACTACGGATGGCTGCCATGCAAAATTATAACTATTATAACATACTTTATGCATTTAAAAGGGCATTAATTAAAAGCTGCAGTCCTGGATATAATTACATACACTTAAGCTTCATTCATTCCTATGGAAATTAAACATGCATGACTGTACATGTGATTTGGTGCTGAATGGGTAGTAGGACTGAATGGGACATTTTGAAAGGCTTTCATTAACAGGGTGGCCATAAGTCAGAGACAACCTGATGGCACATAACAACAGCAGCAGGACTGTAGCAAAGCTTATCAGCAGGACTGTAGTAAAGCTTATCAGCAGGAGGAGAAAGAAATCCTTGTCAAATCTCAAGGATTAAGACCACCTTTTTTTAATGGGCTGTCCTTAATACATGAGTAGCTGGAATGGTGATATGGCCCACTCATTACCCTATACAGGGATGGAGATGTTATTGCTTTTATTATTACAATATATCCCACCCTTTTTCCTCTTACCTTCCCCAACCTGCTGGTCTTCAGAGGCATTTGGGTCACATCTCCCAGAATTCCCATGCAGCAGAGCCATTGACTGGGAATTCTGGGGGCTGCAGCCCAAACATGCCTGGAAAGCACAAGGCTGGGGAAAGCGGTCTCACAAGCCCTTCTTTATTTCACTTTATCCTTCATTTTAACAACTCACTGAGTGGATTAGGCTGGGGGTAAGTGATGAACCCAAGTCACTCAGGGAGCTTCACAGCAAGGGGGGACTAGAACCCAGATCTTCTGGGCCCTCGCTCCAATGCTCTAACCACTAGGACACCTATCACACATATTCTGCCTATTTTTATTATGTCAACCAGTGCTTCTGCTTATTTTTCCTGACAAAGGTCCAAGGTTCGTAACAGTGTTGTGAACAGACTGTGTTTCATCTATAGAACTGACGACACTGCAAGCTGTTAGTCTGAGGATTCAAGAAGCACTGTATAATTACATCTGGGTCAAAGGTACGAACAGGAACAGGAAGTATAAAAGCAATGCAATATTACCATTGGTAGTTACAAGCACAGTATTTGCATAGTAACTCCATAACAGACTGGGAACCCAGGAAACCCAGGTTCTAGCCCTCATTCAACCACTTATTTATTTATTTATTTTCTATACACGAAGCTCACTGGTCCAAACACAAACTCTCAAGCTACACTACTACACAGAGTTGCTGTTGTGAGAGCAAAATGGAGGTGTGTAAATTGCTTTGAGTTCCTCACAAGAGGGGAAAAAGACGCAATGCAAATACAATGTAATAACAACCCCAACAGGCAGAAGAAGCCTTAACAGATAAACTGTAATGCTTTTCCAACACTTTATCTGGAGGCTAGGAACAACGCTTCGAACTGTCAGTTGCACAGCCGTTTTGCGGACACGAGAAGGAAAACGGGCATATCCCAGCTACCATGGGTCCATAAGCAACCACTCCCTGCGAAGCAGTACTAGAAAACTGAGATTTTTGCTATGTCAACACTCACTCCTTCCTTCAGTGCAACTGCTTAACCCATTGTCCGTCAAAGCCCTCAATTTTCTGCTAGCAGTGCGGCATAAAATTATTTTTCCCTGGCCTGAGCACAGGCAGGAAAGCAACAGGTGAAGCTTCTAGCCAGCATGAATTCACGAAGTAACTAGTCCTGCTCGATTTCTGCTTGCCAGTCCGTTTTCCTCTTCTTTCCTCTCCCCCGCCCCCTTTTGGGTTTTGTTTTGTTTTGTTTTTTTGGCAGCATTGAAACTCGGCCAGCAGGTGTCGCTGGGACTCTGCATGTAGGCGCGTATACATATGTAAGTCCAATCGATCACAGGAAATGAGTGGTACGTATACATCTGATAGGCAACTTTCCCCGCAGATAGTTCGGACTTTACCGCCCATCAGCCACAGCCAGCATAGCCAAAGATCAGGAATCCTGGGGGTTGCAATCCACCATATCCGGCAGCCTGCCTTAAATTTAGGGCGCTTCATTGCACTTGCAGAAGCCCAGAACGACAAACCTCGGGGAGGCGCTCCAGGTCCTGAAGGAGCTGCGCTCGCCTGCATGGCGGCGTTTCCTGGCGTTCGCCTGGAGAGATTCTCCCGCAGCCCTCCACTGAGAAGCCGAAAAAGCTTGCCCAGCAGCTGCCCGGACATTTCAAGAGCCCAACTTGAAAGTTCAACGGGGCCGCAAGCTCGGCCGCGCCTACTTTTGCCATCGCGCCTGCGTCGACTCGTGCATGCCGTTTGCTTGCTGCCCGAGCAAACCTGGGCGGGAGGCTAGCGACCCCGCGCGGATGCCGAGCGAACAGCGGCTCTTTCCGACTCCCTTTCAGGCCTGTTTGTTGAACAGCATCGTTGAGACACGGTCGGAAGGAAAGCGGAATGAACGCGTTTATTACGGTCGGCTGAACCCCCTTTGGTATCATTTTCCCTCTTTGCCCGCCTTCCTCAACTTAGCGTTCTCCAGGTACGTTGGGCTGCAATTCCTATCATCCCCAGCTATTATATCTCCATCCTTAAACAGCTAATTTTAAGTGGCAATCCTAACCACATTTACTAAGTAGTAAGACCCATTGCTCAAAAAGGACCGCTTTTAAATAAAACTGTACGCTGTTAGCAGTCGTGCCTGCCTCACTTCATCTGATCTTGCTCTCTTCTGATCTATGCCCCTCTGTAGTTCAAAACTAGTGGAAGGGGCATCACACAAAAAGCAATGCTTAACAGGGCTTTTTCCAACACCTGCATGTTAGGAGGAAATGCCTATAAAGTAAATGTTTCTTCACATTTGAGAGTTGCATAGAAGACAGAAACTAAGCATGTTGTTGTAAGCCGCCCCGAGGTTTCGGCAAGGGGCGGCATAGAAATGTTATAATAATAATAATAATAATAATAATAATAATAATAAGCAGAGGTAGCACTACAAGCTACAAACACTGAGATTCTCTTTTCTCCACAGCTGTTGGAGGCACAGAAACCCCATCCGCAGCTGTCTCTGAAGGCTCTCCTGTGAAGGAAAGCCTATTCACTAACCATTGGCTTTCCGTCTGTTCTGGCACCCCAGTGATGCAAGATTCCAGGATGGATGAAAACCAATGCACAGAGAAATTCACACACACACAAAGCTTCCCTTTGCAGTCAACCCTATCCAACATGTGGACAAAGGTAGGTCCAGGGCCTCTGCCACATGAAATCAGGGCTGCAACCATGTGTAGCTCCATCATAGAAGCGAGGTGCCTTCCCACAATGCACATGCTGGTGGTGCTTGTAAAGCAGATACAGAACAGCTGCATCCTTCCATTCAGTTCTGCCACCATCAACTGGCTGAATGTGTCCAGTCCTTTTTGTGACTATAGTATCAAGTCCAGCTTTCTATCCCTAGTCCTCTATTTTGCTTTAACAACATGGTGAAGAGTTGTGGAGAACTTGAAAGCTTGGTCACTATTTTCCTAACAGTTTGTTTGGTTCTGATATAGTAATGGAGGGCCACCATGAAAAAACCATGGAGCTTTAGACTATCAGTGGCTACTTGTCATTGTGGCTACATATTACCTCCAGCTTACCAGTTGTTGGAGAACACAAGCAAGATGTCTTTGTATTTATATACTTTGGTAATCCTTTTACAGGCATCTGGTTGGCCATTGTGGGAACAGAGTGCTGGACTAGATGGACCCTTGGTCTCACCCAGCCTGACTGTTCGTATGGAGGAGCTTTCAAATGGTGTCCTTCCTGTTAACTCCCAGGAATTATTTACTCTCGTTAATGATGGGGATTTATTCAGTATGCTTATATGCTGCCTTTCTACTGTCACAGAACCCAAGTGGTGCCCAGCCATGCCCTGCCCCACATGTAACAGCCCAACTTCTTAGCTTCAGTCATTAATACTAGAATGCAGGCTTCCTCAAGCCGGTCTCCTTCAGATGTTTTGGACTTCAGCTCCAAGCATTCCTGACTATCAGTCATGTTGACTGGGACTGACTGGAGCTGACATCCAAAGTATCTGGAAAGCAACAGGTTGGAGAAGGCTGGTTTAACCTCTGATTAGGCCAGGAAAAATAAAGGGTGACTCTGACACACGTGTGCCCACCTGTCATGCTTTGGCTGAAGCAGGCTCCAAATGATGGGGCAATCCAAAAAGCAAGGTTACAAACCCATCAGCACTCAGGTTTCAGCCCGATAAGGGAGCAAGCAGGCAGGGGTAATCAAAGTGCAAGCAAAGGTCAAAATGCTCTAAAGAATCCAGGTACACTACACAGACCAGGAGCTGAGTCAAACAGGAGTCCAAGGATCAGCAGTGTGGAGCATCAGTCATCAGGGCAGAAGGTGCTAGGGCTGCAGACCATTGTGGTACAACCGGGCTGGGCAGACACTGAAGGCTTATAGTTATACCACCAGAACCGACTGAGCTCCACCCATGTTTTAGCAGCAGTACAATTAGAGCTCACTAGACAGAGCTTACTCAGGATAAGTCACTTTCTCCTTAAGCACCCTTCTCACTGAAGCCCTACTGGCCTGCCACTTGAGGCAACTGTGGTCCTGAGGTCCAACCAGGGGTGGCCCTCCCTCACCTGAAGCAGAAAATCTAAAATTATCTTCCATGGTGATGCTTTCTAATGGTCCATGAAGCTATGGTGAAAATAGGGTAGCATTCGATGTCAAATGAACATAAATACTACTGCACTCTGATGCAGTTTTATCAAGCATGCTGGTTTAAAGCAAAACGTCAGCTATGCCTTCCTTACTGCTTAGTGTTGCTTCATATAACACATGTGGGATAAAACTAAATGTTAGTTTTAACACTTAGCATTTCCGTAGATCCATGTTTTTTCTCCTTTTTGCAAAATAAGTGCTGGAGATCTGATCCAGACTGGAGCATTAGTATGGCAAATGGGAGAGGACTTTAATGCTACGCTTCCTTCTATTTGCCATTAGAACTTAAACATTGTAGAGGAAAAAGCACCCATTCTCTTTAATGGGAGCCTTTCCCTATGGAAATGGTAAGCACAATTGGAAAGCATATCTTAACTGAGGAAAGACAAAGAGTTCAAACCTCCCTAGGACCATGATCTTTGAGAAAAAGAGCAAAGTAACTAGAGTAATGTGTTGTTTGTCCTTCAGCACAGCTGCCTCAGAGTATAGAAAGATTTTTTTAAAAATTCACATGTCTTTTGGCAAGCTTCCATGGGACAGCTGTAAGAAATGAAAAGGTTGACTTCAAAAGGCAGCATACACTCCAAAACAAGCACTCATCAACATAAGCAACAGTCGAAAAGCTATATAACAGTTTATACTTTGTTTCTGTTGCATATCCAAGCAATGCAAGATCATAGAAGCCTCTGAGATGCTATGTTCTTGATATTTTTAATATTTAAATACATCCAGGAGCTGGAAAGGGGGAAGATTAGCATCTTGGCAGATAGATGGAGACAGAGATCTGGGAAGTCCACTTGGACGGCTAAACAATTGGTCAGGTTTTGAGTGAAATTTTCCCATTGCTGTGGAAGGAATACCTAGACAGGCAGGCAGGCAGGCAGGCAGTGTGGTAGCTTGAGTAGCTGATTTCTCCTTGTATGCAGGGACTCCAACCCATAATTGGAGCCCCGATGTACTAGGAAATCAAGGCCCTTGGTGAAGAAGAGGGCAAAGGGTAAAATCACAACAGCTAATGATCAACTGCAACACAAATAAACTCCCATGGGGACTTGCCCCTAGTACTAACCAGAGGTGCAGGCAAACACGGACGGCAACTCTGTGTCATGTAGAACAGGAGACTTCCTGTTGCTATTCCATGTATGAAAATAATTCTAGCTGCCCCAGGGAGGTGCCTTGGCACAGATGAAAAGGAAAGGCAGTCATTTCCAAGTCTTCCTCTTTGTTTCCTGCCACCTTGGCCCACACCTGCCGGGATACGAACTGTGAAGGCATGTTCTACAGCAGCTAAAGTCCACCTTATTCCACACAGGGGTCTTTTCTGTTTTGGAATGGTGGCTATTACAAGGTAACTGACTCAAGGGTGTCTCCTTGTCCTACTTTGCCATGGTCCTCTAAGTCAGTAATGCTAAAATAAACATCCACAATAAAAGTAAAGAATCTCATTACGCTGTTCTCTCAGGGCAAAATCCTATGCACGTTTAGGCAGAACGAGTTGAACAACTCCCAGCAGATGCTTCATTAAACAAACGTGTTTCTAGTAGGTGTCAAAGCACCCGCAAGACTCATCAACATGGAGTGGTGAGCATGGCATGTGGGCTGCTTCATCAAAAGGCATAAGGCTGCAGACCCATCATACGTTTCAGGCAGAAACCCCAACAGTTCTCAGTAAGGATTAGTTCCGAGTAGCCAGGTTTGCCCTGCAAGGCTGCAATCCTGTGCATATTAACTCAAAAAAGTCCTACAGCTGCCAACCCCATGCATGCGGGCTGAGGAATGCCAGGAATTTACTTTTTTCTCAGTACATGTAGGATTGAACCATAAGTCTCATAGCTGGCTCTATTACCTACTCCCTATTACAAGCAAGCCCATCATAGTCTGTGGTGCATGCTGGGAACTGTAGTCTAACACATCTGTTGAGTGGCAAGTTGGGGAAGCCTTCCCTATCCCTAAGCTTGACATACTTCTTGATGAACTTCTCTTTGATGGAAATCAGCAACTAGAAAGTTCTCTTCTACTCTTCATCCAAGTCATTGCATTCCCTTCCCGATCTTTCAGCCACAGGACCCAAGAATAGCATGGAGAGAATGGCCCTGAGATACACTTTCATTGTTTTTCAAACGGGAATTATAAATATACTCTTTCTGAGATGCATTAGACTGGTTTTGCAATTAAGCTAAGTGCATTCATTTGTTTTAATGAGAGCACAGTATTCACTCATTTACTTAGTCGCTTGCTTAATTGTAGTTTTAGTCATTTGCTTCCCCAAAGGTTTGCCTTTAAAGTGGCAATTATAAATCTACTGTTCCAGAAGTGCATTCAAGTGATTATTTTAATAGAGGGTGCCTAGTTAAGTGAGAGTGAAACATTCATTCACTGACTTGCTTGCATATCTACACCCTTCCTAATGTATTGTTTCAGGGCACAATCTTTTGCATGGTTAGACAGAAAAGTTGTACAACTCCCAGCATTCCCCATACTGACTGGGGAATCTGGAAGTTGTACGGTCTTTTCCTTTCAAACATGGGATTGCATCCTGATTTACTCACCTTCATGCCGTATTATGTACATGGTGGTCAATGTGGCTATTAGGATACACCTGGGGAGAAGGGACAGAATTATTCCTCTTCCTGGTTCAAGAAGCTTGCCTGGTCCTATTGGAGAGATTGGGGTGACTGAAGACCTTGGACTGCGGCATCTCCAGACCCGTGAAGTTCAGATTTTGTCTTCTCATATTATTTTCTGAATCAGGTTTTAACAGCCATTTCTTATGTGGCAATCCACATTTTGACCCTTACACTCAATGGACTTTAACTGTGAGCCATGCAGCACTGTGGATTTTAGGATTTTTCTGTATATTCATGTTCTAGTACATGTGCTGTGCACCACCCTGGAATGAGTTGAAGGATGATAGGCACATTTTTTAAATAAATGTGCAATCCTATGGCCATAGAAAGCCATAGGATTTTTGGAGACCCAGCTACAAGGTCAGAAAAACACTTAGTGCATTGTTGCTCTCCTGGAAAAAGGGGCCAGGAAAAAATGAAAATGGGGCGTTGTAACTAGAATATTTTCAGCTATGTCTGACAAACTTGTTGATGCACTTTAGAATAAAACCAACACATTCAGCCAGTGTCATGGGGCGCAAAGCTATTTTTTAACACTCAGCCGAAGCCACTGTTTCACCATTTTTTCCCTTGAATATTTAGGAGTACTCATTACATCTTGGGCTGTTTTGCTTGAATAAGATTCGATTTCTAGCACCAATAGTCCACAGTGTTGTGGCCAAGAATATGGGCTAATGCATAGAGACAATAAACCTTGACGTGAAGGTGGAAGAAGTTTGGAAGGATGGTTTCATCATAGGAGAAAAAAAGGAAGGATGGCTAAGCCAGATTGAATTGTGTCCATCTGAAATAAGTGGGGTGGCATCCCGTCCCACCCCAACTGAAAATCCTGTATTTGGGAGCATCACAGACTGCAAGGGAAAGCTTTGAAAGACTGAATATTCTTCCATACTATATATATATGTGTGTGTGTACGCATATGTTTAAGAGGGTGTGTGGTAATCAATCCACCTAGGCTGTAGCCCTAAGAACCTAAGACCCAGACCTGAAACTTAGCACATATATCAGAGTGGCCATAAGGGGTGAACACCTCGGGGTTATTTTGTTGTTAAAACAAACTTACTTTATTAACTTACTTGCACCCTCTGACACCTGCAGACAGATATTCATGACTAGGGGCAGAATTTCCTAACCAGCACATAGCTTTGCAAGCCATGCAACTGAAAGTCATGGGAAATTAGTAGTCTGAGACAGGTGTGCACCTGTTCCTTCTGCCCAGGTAACAGAATGGACAGGCCCCTGCAAGAAACCTCTAAGGGAGCATGAGGTTCAGGTGCCAGCAGGCATGGATTCAATCAAATGGTGGGCCATTCGTCCAGCTCTTGCAGCCATGTAAGTCTGCTTCAAGGCTTGTCTCTGCCTCTTGCAGTAGGCCGATCCTGGATCCATTCCCATTCCTCCTCCCAGGAAGAGGCCTAGGCAAGGCTAGACCAATTCACCCCAGGATCTAGTTTTCTGTGTGAATGATTCTGCCGGAAGAAATGATGCAATTATAGGGCATCCTTGCCTTCAGCCTGAAGCGGCAATATCCAAACCAAGATTGGTGAGACTAATTCTGTATTGACTTGTCTTTTAACTGCTTCAGCTGCAATGAGTCAGAAACTTGTACAACTGGATAAATTAAAAAAGGCCAGTAATTTGATAACTGACATGTTTGGTCCCTTATTATGTAGGGAGGAAGTGCCAACATGTTTCCACATTTTAGCTCAAAAGCCACTATTAACGCACAGCGAATATTCAGGCAACAGACTAGAATTCTATTTCAGAAATCTTCATGACAACCTTTTAAGACAGGTGAATCTTGCCACCCAAAATAACTGGTTTAGGGAAAGGACTGATGCCAAGGTTATGGCTTGCCCAAGATCAGCTACTGCTTTCAGCTCGTGTCTCATTTTCCCTGTGTTTTCACAACTCTTGCAGTATCTCCATGGAAAACAGATTCTGATTCAGATTCGTCTGACATAAGGCAATTTTCTATGCTTGCATCAAGGCCGTTTTGAGTGGATGTACAATTTCCCTCATTTTTAAGTGTAGGTTCTTAAAGATGGGTATATGGATCCGGAAATCTGCTCATAGCATTTAAGAAGTGAAGGTCTCATTAGGACATGCAGAAACTGTTTCTCACTTCATTCAGCACTGCAGCAAGATCCCTTTCATGGTTTGTTTTCCCTCTAAATATATATTGCAAAATAACCATGCTCAAACAAATTTATTCCTGTGATATTCCAGTGATTCCAGTGTTTTATTCTGGTGGGACTGCCACCCCACCTGTCGGACAACTCTGCTTTCTTTGTGAGGATCCAATTTACCTGATGTGGTATGAAACAGTTATTCCATTCAAAACCACTTTATTCCATTCAGTAAATGCATCTGTGCCAGTTGGCCAAGTCTAAAAAGCACCCGTATCAACAGCTGAATGTCAAAACCCTTACGCAACTTAATAAAAGGTGGTTAAACTTTTATTGCCAGAATGGTAAACATTATGCAAGCAGGCCTGTATGGTGTTACACAGAGAACAAGCAAGCAAATATGAATAGAAATGATAAGCTAGAGTAAAAGAAAAGTGTATTTAATAAATTGGCCCCAGTAAACTGTCATGTTACCAACTAAGAAAATAACCTGGCACAACTGAGAATTTTATCTGTTGGAGATAAGCTCCTCACTGTGCACTCTAATAGCCACGCTGAGAAAAAGAAATTACTTAGAAAATGCTAGTGATACAAAACTAACAAGAAGGCTGCCCTAAATCATATGCAGCAGCATGTGACTCATGGGCAAAAGGGAAAGCATATGCAAAATACACAAGAAAAAGATGCAAAAATGCATTAAAAACCCCAGGCAATTCTTGCTTTGTTACATTTTCCATAACTTTGCACCTCAAAACATTAGACAGCTGTTTTAAAAAATATATAGAAATAGCACCCCCCCACCCCCGAAAGGATATTTTTCCTTTGCAACTTATGTTTGGGTTTTGCTTTCATTCCCAAGCGTAGCTATTTCACCCAAGCAGATACTAAGATCACCACTAACCATGTTTTTTTTTTGTATAAAGAAAAAAGAATGTGGATTTCTGAAGATGAACATGAGAATTCAGGTAAGCTTGCTGGATAATGCCTAGCGGGCAAGCGAGCTGCTGCTGATCACTGTATGCGAGTAAGAATAGGAAGAACTTGTGCTTCCATCAAAACTTCCTCTCCTCGATCCACTGCGTGAACCGGAGCGGGAGCCGGAGCGGGAGCCGGAACGAGAGCCGGAACGTGACCCAGGTGCTGAAGAGACATTATAGGGGCTGGATATGCCTTTGGATGAAACAGAGGAAGCTTCTAGTAACCTGAGCCCAGTTTTGTCTTCCACCATTGAACGATTCATTGCATCTTTGTAGGAGATCTTCAGCTTCGTTTTGGGGCAGGTCAGAATCTTGCCATAGTTGCTGGTGTCCTGCAATCTCTGGGCGGTCCGACCATCAATGAATCCTTTCCGAATGGCTTCTTCTGTGCTTATTCTCCCCTTGATTTCTGGGTCAATGAGGCCTCCCGTCATAAACTGAAATTCAAGGAAACGCTGCCCAGCTTCATAAGGCAGCCACTTTTCCGTCACTGCCTCTGCTGCTGACATCTTCTGGCGGCCCTTGATGCCATCAAACCCTATGAAGGCTTTCTGAGCCGGCTTCAGCCGAGTGGCCATATCATGGTCAATTATGCCTTGAGCAACTGCCTCTTGAAGGGAAAGCCGCCGGCCTGTGGTAGGGCATATTATGCCTCCAGTGCAAGCCTGGGCCTCGAGCAAACGTTGGGCACTGATGCTGTCGACAATGCCTCGTTGCACGGCCTCTGAAATGCTGATCTTTTCCATGTTCTCTGTGTCGAAGATGGCTGCAATAGGAGTGGTTTCTTCTGGGGAATCTGAAAAGGAGCCAGAGCTGCTCTTTAACACCAAGCTGGAACTCTTGATACTTGCTATGGTGGGAGACTTAGTGATGGATTCATGCCGGAAGACTTCATCACTACCATTTCTGTAAGCAACCATGTCTGCAAATTGTGTCAGGCTTAATGATCCCGAACGGTACTGGTCCAAATATTTCTTGTCAACATGACCTTTATCGATGGCATCTTGAATGTCATATTGATGACCTGTTTTTCGGTCAACAAGCACTACTCTTGTGCTCCCATCTGAGCCTGTAATAGTTATTTCTTCCCATTCACATTCCTGCTCAGAAAGCTCCAGGTACGTATCATAATCTATAAGGCCTTTGTTGTAAGCTTCCTGGACTGACATCTCTTTGCCTGTGTCTGGATCAACAATGACAACCCTGCGTTTCCGAAGCGTGTTTTTTTGTGAAGTCTGCACCGCTTTCTTCTTTCCTTTCAAGGGTAAGAGGCAAAGCCCAGTTCCTGAATCTGTTATGCATCTTTCTTTCAGCTGCAGGTAGGTCAAGTTTTCTTCTGTGTTGGGGTCAAAAAACCCTTTGGTATCATCACTGGGATCAGACAGGATGTCATTCAGCTCTTCATTGAAGTAGCCACGTTGGTATGCTATGTGGACTGGCAAACGATGACTTTCCTTGGGATCGATAATCCCACCAGTGGCTATCTGGGCCTCCAGCAAACGAATGCCATGACCTTTTTCAATCAGTTCCTTATTCATTGCTTGGAACAAGGAGATGATGCTTCCTGTTTCAGGATCTTTGTACCCAGTGACTGCTCTTTCCGCAGACAGAAGTTTCTCTTTAAATTCTATTCCTACTAGCCCTCTTTTGTAAGCTTCTTCCACAGTAAGTCTTGCATTGTTAACTGGGTCCACAATGAATCCAGTGGCTGCCTGGGCTTCCAAAAGCTCAAGAGCTGTCCCTGGTCTAACCAAGCCAATTTTCATAGCCTGGTAAATGCCTAATTTCTCCTTGGTGGCTTCATTATAAATACCTGCTATGCAGCTGGAGCCTTGGAGGAAATCTTTGATTCGGTCAGTAACTTCCTCAATAGAGATTACTCCAGTTTCTAGATCAGTTGCCGTTGATTCCCGAATGATGCCAGAACTGACCAATTCAGAAACCGAGATGGGCTTCCTGATCCCTTGGAATGACATGCTTCTCTTCTGCAAAGGGAGGAGAAGTAAACCAGTATGGGGCTCAATTCTGCATTTCTCCCTCAGCTTCTGGTAACTAATGGCACTCTTAGTCAAAGGATCGATTAAGGGCTTTGAGGGATTATTGAGGGTCCTCATCAAGTCTCGATCAATCACCCCACGAGATACAGCAATGTCTTTGGGCAAAAAGACACTGTTGAGAGGGTCAACGATCCCTCCCACGGCCAGCTGGGCTTCAAGGAGACGAATTCCAGTCTCCCTGTCCACCAGGTTTTTCTTGATGGCTTCTGCCACAGGCACCGTTTTTCCTGAGAAGGGGTCTTTAAACCCAGTGATGGCCTTTTCTGCTGTGTAGATTTGCTCCCGGTCATCAAAATCAATAAGATCTCTTGCAACAGCACTGTCCACGCTAAGCAGTTCATTTCGGTGTGGATCGATTATGCCTCCGGTGGCTACCTGGGCTTCCAGAAGCAAGACTGTGTTTTCTGGGGTGAGAAGCTGCTCGCGTTTGGCCTCAACCAAAGAATACTTCTCCCTGGGGCTCAGAGAAGCTCCTGCTATAGCCCCAGCTCCTCTAAGGTAGGGTTCCAGATCAGCGGCAACTTCCTCCACTGACTTTTGCCCTCTCAGAAGTTTATCTAGGGTGCATTTATCGATCAGCTGGCATTCATACAGTTGGACAGCGGTTATTTTTTTCCGCAAACCACTAAAAAGCAATTTGGAAGGGTCAATTGCAAAGTCCTCTTCTGTCTGGGTGCTTCTGTGAGAACCATAGGGACGTTGCTTCAGCTTCTCAATTTCTCTTTGAAGTCTCAAGCGCTCAGCTTCCATCTCTGACTGGCTCTTCCTGCTGGTCTCTTCCAACCGGCAACGATATCGTTCTTCAATCCTCTTAATCTCTGCTTGTAGCCTCTCAATTTCCACTAACAAGGCACTCTTCTCCCTCTCGCTCTTGTCTCGCTCATTCTCAATCTTCCTGATTGTCTCCTCCTTCCAAGAATATTGGTTCTTCCACTGGGTTAAGTCATTCAGGATCTGCTGCTTCTCGTTTTCCAGTCGTACTTTCAAACGAGTTTCTGACTCTAGTGTGGATTTGGCACGATTCAGCTCTTCCTCCAGCCTCAGCAATCTTGCTTTGTCTTGTTCCAGGGTTTTTATTTTTATCAGCAGTGTTTCTCGTTCTTGCATAATATGATTGCACTGGTTTTTAGATTCTTGAATCCTGTGAGATGTCTAAATTTTCAAAAAGGAAGAAATAGAAAGAAAAATTAGTGCACTGAGTATTGTCTATTCCCTACAATTCAACTTCTTCCCTAAGGGCACTAGGCAACTGCAGTCCTGAGCAATATGAATTGTATTTTAATGCAGTTACAGATTAAACTGAAAAAAAGTTTGGGTTTCTTTCCAAACAAAAGAGTCAGGGCATGATCCAGCCATAGTTAAACAGTTTCAGGTCTCATTTGGTTTTGATATAAAGATTAACCGTCTGCTTAAAACTCTGATCTTTTTACATGTCTAGTTGAGTATAGGATTGAACTAGATGGGGCTTAATTCTAAGCATATGCATATACAGTGTCCATCTCTTTCCTTTGCAGTCAGTGGGAATTAAAAGTGCTTATCCAGGGATGGAACATTCTCCCGGTATCTAATGCTTCATATCTGTTTTCCTTTATATGATAGAAATATATATTGCAAGCTATCCTATTACTACTATGAGTACTCACTGCCTTTCTTCCTCTTGCAAAAGACCATAAAGTAGTTTACAAGGTCTTCCTCCTCTTCATGTTATCTTTACAACTCTGAGGGTGGTTAGGCTGAGACTAAGCAATTGGCCCGAAGTTACCCAGTGAGCTTCATGGGCAAGAGAGGACTAGAACCCGGATCTTCCCAGTGCCCAGCCCAACATTCTAACCACCACCACCCTGCCCAGATGTTGACTGTTTGCAATGACTACTTTTGAGAAGTGCTCCTCTTTAAAATAAAATTACAGGTCTGCTGAAAGGATTTGAAAAAATCCTGAACAAATGTGTTCAAGTGTTTGTATAGTTTTCTAAATGGGATGGTGTAACTTAGTATCCTGCAGGGGGTTAGACCTGATAGCGTTCTGGCATCTTCCACTCTACTGTTATATGTTTCTACGATATAAATAAAATATAAATAAAATAGAGCACACTGAAAAGGCAATGAATTGTTCATGATTTACAACATGATAAAGGGAGCTTTGGCTGGACACAGGACTTCTCGTTCACATGACATCCTGTGAAAGAATCTCCCCATTAATTTCAGTAGAGATACATGAGCTACAGATGTTTTCTTTCTAAACTAATGTGAATCCGTAAGGTTTTTATTTAAAATTACTTTGTGTTTAAATATCACAGGGTTAGTTCTAGATTTAGCCACCATAATCAGTGGAACTGAAGTTATTCATAACTCAGTTATAGCCCATTGATTTTAATGGTCCGACACTGACTAATGAGTCTGCTAATAATCCAACTCCAAATATCTCATTTTGACTCCATATTTTATTGAGGAATAAAATAGACATGTGGCAAGATAATGGTCAACAATTGTACTAATACTCGCCCTGGATTTTCCTAAAGCATTAAGCTACTGCCCAGATGCCAGTTTGTACTATATTTACCAATATATATAGCAAATCAAGAATGGCCACATTAAAGGTCTGACTGAACGCAGAATTTGATTCTACTTTCAAGAAATGCTTGTGTTATAGAAAGAAGTAGAATAACTGACAAGTCATAAGGCTAAGGCAGGATTTTATCAAGAACTGCACCTTCATCACTTACCCATGTGATGAATTTGAATGAGTGTAATAGAATGAGGAGGTGTGAATACACATGTACAGTATATCACAGAAGTGAGTACACCCCTCACATTTTAGAAGTATTTTATTATATCTTTTCATGTGACAACATTGAAGAAATGACACTTTGCTACAATATAAGGTAGTGAGTATACAGCTTGTATAACAGTGTAAATTTGCTGTACCCTCAAAATAACTCAACACACAGCCATTAATGTCTAAACCGCTGGCAACAAAAGTGAGTACACCCCTAAGTGAAACTGTCCAAATTGGGCATTATTAGCCATTTTCCCTCTCCGGTGTCATGTGACTTGTTAGTGTTACAAGATCTCAGGTGTGAATGGGGAGCAGGTGTGTTAAATTTGATGTTATCTCACTCTCTTATACTGGTCACTGGAGGTTCAACATGGCACCATATGGCAAAGAACTCTGAGGATCTAAAAAAAAAAACTGTTGCTCTACATAAAGATGGCCTAGGCTATAAGTGAGTACACTGTAAGTGAGTACACTTATATAAGAAGATTGCCAAGACCCTGAAACTGAGCTGCACACAGTGGCCAAGACCATACAGCAGTTTAACAGGACACATTCCACTCAGAACAGGCCTCGCCATGGTCGATCAAAGAAGTTGAGTGCACATGTTCAGCGTCATATCCAGAGGTTGGCTTTGGGAAATAGACGTATGAGTGCTGCCAGCATTGCTGCAGAGGATGAAGGGGTGGTGAGTCAGCCTGTCAGTGCTCAGACCATACGCTGCACACTGCATCAAATTGGTCTGCAGGGCTGTCGTCCCAAAAGGAAGCCTCTTCTAAAGATGATGCACAAGAAAGCCCGCAAACAGTTTGCTGAAGACAAGCAGACTAAGGACATGGATTAGTGGAACCATGTCCTATGGTCTGATGACACAAAGATAAACTTATTTGGTTCAGATGGTGTCAAGTGTGTGTGACGACAACCAGGTGAGGAGTACAAAGACAAATCTGTCTTGCCTAAAGTCAAGCATGGTGGTGGGAGTGTCATGGTCTGGGGCTGCATGAGTGCTGCCGGCACTGGGGAGCTACAGTTCATTGAGGGAACCTTGAATGCCAACATGTACTGTGACATACTGAAGCAGAGCATGATCCCCTCCCTTCGGAGACTGGGCCACAGGGCAGTATTCCAACAGGATAACGACCCCAATCACCTCCAAGACGACCACTGCCTTGCTAAAGAAGCTGAGGGTAAAGGTGATGGACTGGCCAAGCATGTCTCCAGGCCTAAACCCTATCGAGCATCTGTGGGGCATCCTGAAATGGAAGGTGGAGGAGCGCAAGGTCTCTAACATCCACCCGCTCCATGATGTCATCATGGAGGAGTGGAAGAGGACTCCAGTGGCAACCTGTGAAGCTCTGGTGAACTCCATGCCCAAAGGGTTAAGGCAGTGCTGGAAAATAATAGTGGCCACACAAAATATTGACACTCTGGGCCCAATTTAGACAGTTTCACTTAGGGGTGTACTCACTTTTGTTGCCAGTGGTTTAGACATTAATGGCTGTACGTTGAGTTATTTTGAGGGGACAGCAAATTTACACTGTTATACAAGCTATATACTCACTACTTTACATTGTAGCAGTGTCATTTCTTCAGGGTTGTCACATGAAAAGATGTAATAAAATATTTACAAAATGTGAGGGGTGTACTCACTTCTGTGATATACTGTATATGACAGGTATGGGGAGGGGAAGAGAAAGCAATAGAGACATTGAAGAAAATGGCATTTTTCACCAGTTCTGTAACACTGCACCAGCATGTTATAGAATTGGTCAAAAGCATGAGGTTCCCCAAATGCTGCTTCTGCATATGCTCCACTCATTTCAATGGGGCTTGAAATGAATTAAAACTGGGTGTACAACTCCCCATGGGCAGCCATCCCTGGAGCATTTTCTACAGGACAACTTATTCTTTGGGAACAAGCCATGGCAAGAACGCTTTTATCATGGGCTGCAGCAACTGACTACACAGTAGCACAGCAAGAGGAGCAACAAAGCCCATGCAGTTCATTTTTTGCAATCAGGCCAATGACTGCCCTTCCGTGGATGGCAAGATGGCAGTCCAGAAGGATTACTATTAACTACTTGGCAATTTAAGAATTATTTTTCAGTGCACGGCAGGGAAGTTATTTTTTGTTTTGAATTGTTACTGGCAGTCTTATGAAAGCATGCACTTTAAGCTGTCTGATGTGTGCAGTCTTTGCCTTATTTCAATTGTCAAAGGAAGTAAGCAAGACGCCTTATCAACTAATTTGCACACGGCTGCTAAGGCTCAGGGGTGAAATAAAAGCAGAATTCAGAAGCACCAAAAATTGGGGGGCGGGGAGAAGCACACGCACCAAACTCAGAAAAACACCATCGCTCTCCCTTGGCAAAGTGAGTCTCCCCATTTCAAGTGCTGAGCTGACACACCTCAGTGCTTCCCTGCTTTTCAGCATTTCCTTGAGTCTCCAACTATTCCAGAAAGGAGATCTATTGATCAACCACTTTCCATGCCTCCTCTTCAAGCGAAGTTTGCTGCAGTTACTGTGATTCCCTGACAATTCCAAAAGACCCCACAGAAATGTTACTGCGAGGTGCAAATTTACTTCCCAGCTCTCAGTTTGCGTATCTTTTGCCTCCGTTTACTTCTTGGCCATTACATTTGCATGCATGGGGCACCATTCACCCTGTTCCATGCAGCCATCTTCTCAAGCTTTTGTACTTTTAAAAAAAAACTATTGGAGAATTGCAGTAACCACAGAGAGTGAATATTGTGAAGGGGAAAGGAGTCAGTATTTTTCCAGAGTAGTTGGACACCAGAGACATGTTGGGAAGGGATACCAAGAAGTGTCAGTTCAATATTTAAAAACTAAGAAATTCACGTCACCCCACAAGGGGAGCTACTGACCCCACGCTTGACTTCTTCCACCGTTTTTTTCAGAGAGCACAACGGGGTCTCTCTTTTCTCTTATACCGGCCCTTTGCAATTGTGTGTCTTTGTCAGCTTCCTCACATGCTACTTACTTCCTTTGCTGCCCCCTTTGTCAGCTGAAGTGCAAATCAGCCAAGAAAAATATATTGAATAGCCATATCAACACAATTGCAAAAGACCAATTTTGTTTTTAATCCAAGGGATGGATAGTGATTGGAGGGACCCCCATGTCACATTTTTTAAAAAAAGGACAGGGAACAAAAATGAGCAGCCAGCTAATGGAAGAGGCAAGACTGCTTTTGCCACACAGTTTCCTGGGGTACATGATGGAGGCAGCTTGAAGACAGAGAAAAGAAGAAGAAAACACCATGGCAAACTCGATTATCCATCAGGTGTACCGCTCAGGAAACAACCTGATAAACAACCCTGGCTTACTCCTAGGGTGGTTTTGTAATGCATGCAGACACACCCAGTGTTGCAGCAACGGGCAGAGGATTGCACCTGCTACTAAAGGACCGCATTTACATATTATATTATACTTGTGTTGCAGAGACCAAGTAAAAACAAGTAGCAAAGGATGAGGACATGATGTTAAATAAGAATCTGAACAGCAAAAGGCAATGGCCAAAATCCAGCAGGGAGTAAGCACTCTTAAACCCATTAATTTAAATAGGCTTAAATATAAATAAGGTGCTAGACTGTGACCTTTCTATAGCAATTACACATATCACAACTATATATCAATATAACTGTGTATATATGTACATTATACATAGGAGATATATATGCAAAGGGAATACATACCATATATACAACACCATTATATTATATATACTTAAGATATGCATGCATATATTTGCACACTCACACATAACACTAAATATAAAAGAATGGAAAAGCAAAGCAAGTAAAGACACATGTATATATTTGCGTATTCACACAATACCCTATAAAAGAGGGGGAGGAAAAGCAAAGGAGCTAAAGATATATTTCAACTTGTAATTTTATGAATAAAGTATTGTGTACATAGGGATGTCAGAAATGTTTGTAATGGATTCAGGTAAGTTCAGATTTTTATGAATGTGATCTGTGTTTTCTGCAGCAGACTTACTTTTTTGAGTCACACAGATTCTGTGACTTGCAGACAAAGTTTTTACTGGGGGGGGGATGGGATGCAAGAGAAAAAAAATATTGTACATCCCTAAAAATACTACAATTTGATCAAAGACATTTATATAAGGAAAAGAACAAGTTGCTTGACAATCTGTGAATCAGATAGAATGGATTTGACAGGTTCAATGATAAAAGATCAATGAAAGAAGTATAAATTTTTCTTTGGTAACAAGACAGCAGAATGAGTCAAAAAGTAGTCATTTAACAACATGTTTTGAAAACATGGCCTGATCCTCAAGTCCTAGAATGACCGGTCTTCCACAGGGGAATCTTTAGGATGCTCTAAGCTCTGTTGAACCACTCAATGACCACAAAGTTTTTATGGTGGGCTAGATCCAGACTTAAGTTATACTTACAGTAGACCCATTGAAATCAACAGGATTTTGGCTGGTCAAGTCTCATTGATTTCAAGGGCCCTATCCTAAATATCACCATATCTGGATCTAACACATTGCATTTAACAAATATCTAGCAGATGTTTCATCTGTATCTCAGAATATTAAACTAGGGAGAAAGAAGGGATAAGCTTGGGAAGAGGTGGCGGTTCTCTGAACTTGAGGAATCAATGGCTGTCTTGTTAAAGTTAAATAGCTCCTTTGCATTTCAGCCTAAGAGGAACCCCAGCCTGGTTCTACACTTAAAATTCAAATTTAAAGGGAAGAGGGATGAATTAATTAAAATTCAGGTAAATAAAGTTAGTGTTTATCGACTGACTAAAAATGATTTGGTGTTAAATTATGGTATCTGAGGGACAGTAAAGTTGTGAGCAAATACCTCTAGAGCCTGCTTTTGGAATTTTTCAATTTCCTGTCTCATATTGTCCCTTTCTTTCTGTAAATCATTTATCAGACCCTGGAGTTCTAGGGTGTGCTTGCTGCTTGTTTGTAGTTGACTCTTTAGTTCAATTATTGTGGCATTTTTTTCCTCATCCACTTCACTTCTGCCCCTTCTTAGATCATCATACTCCAATCTTAAATTGCGCAGCTCTTCCTCTAAAATCAAGTGTTCCTTTGTAAGGTTCTCAGTAAGAGACTGAAGTCTTTCAATTTCTATCTTGCACTCATTGAGGCTTTTGCTCTTATCCTCAACCGCCTTCTGCAAGTGCTCATTGCGCACGTGGGCCTGCTTCAAGTTGTCCTGCTCTTGGACCATTTGGCGGCGCAAGGTCTCCACCTCACAGGTGTACTTCCTTATCTCCTCCATGTATCTCTGCTTATCTCTCACATGGCTATCTAGCACCTCTCTTTGATGTCTCAAGTCGTCTTCACTCCTTTTCTTGACAATAGAAACCTCCTCTATCTGCTGAGTGAGGTTGGTGATTTTAACCGTTTGCTCTCTTAATGTTCTCCTCAGAGAGTCTAACTCCTCTTCTACTTTCTTCCTTTTGGAAGTTTCGTCAGCTACAATTCTAGACTGCCTATTAAGCTCTTCCTCCAGTTTCTGTTTCTGATGCTGAACTTCTTTGACTGTGCTCTGGAACCTTGCACTCTCTTGATCTTTCCCTTTTTTGTCTTGAGCAAGTCTTTCATATTCACTTTTCAGCCGTCCCAACTCCTGCTCTTGCACTTTCAACCTGCTGATAGTCTCTGTCGCATTGATGTTGGCTTTTTCCAGATCGTACTGGACTCTTTGCAATCGAATATTTTCCTCCTCCATGGATTTCCGCTGGTTTGTTTCTGCTTCTAGCAGCTTTCTGAACTTTTCGATCTCTTTGTTTTTCTCCTTAATTGTCCTTCCAGCATCATCAAGTGACTGCTTATAGCGTACAGTCTCTTCTGAGTACTTCTGAACTGTCTGCTTTAGCTCAATTTCGAGTTGCTGTTTCTTCTGCGAGATCTCCGAGCCAAGGGCTTTCTGCTGGTGAGCACTTTCTTCCACTTGTCTAAGGTTCTCTGTTGTCTGACTTATTGTGTTCTTCAGCCTCCTAATTTCCTCACACAAGTTCCTATTTTCTCTTAGGGCATTGTCAAGCTGTGCTCGGTAACTACTGGATTCCTCTTCCTTCTGCAGGGTCACCTGATTAATTGTGGTCTTTGTGATAGAAATCTCAGTCTCATACTTGTTCTTTAAACTAATAATTTCCTCATCATAATTGTGCCTTACCTTAGCCAACTCATTTTCAAGTTCCCATCGGCTTTTAGCCTCTTCCTGCAGCTGAATCTTTAATCGCTCAAGCTCCTTGGTTTTGTCCTGGATGGTCAAAGCAGCATCTTCAAGTGCCTGTTTGTATCTTGTATTGTCTTCGTTGCGCAGCTGAATGATCTGCTTCAGCTCCAGCTCCAGCTGCTGCTTCTGCTGGGCCACCTCTGAGCCACAAGCCTTCTGCTGCAGGGCATTCTCTTCTGCTCTCCTCCGCTGTTCTGTTGTTTCCAAAATGGCGTCATTGAGACGGACAATTTCATCCTTCAAGTCTCTGTTCTCCCTCTGGAGCTTGTCAATCTGGGCGCGGAGGTTTTTGGCATCGTCTTCCTTCTGGACCGCTATCTGGTGGATGGTAGTCTTCTTAATGTTAATCTCTGTTTCATACTTGTTCTTTATATTACTCATCTCCTCATTAAACTGGTTCCTTACCTTAGCCAGCTCATTTTCATACTCCCTCTTCCGTGCCCCCTCATCCTGGAGAAGAATCTTTAGCCTTTCTATCTCATATTCTTTCTCTTTGATGACTTTTTCGGATTCTATCTTTTGCCAACCAAGGCTCTCTTTCTCATTTTGCCTTGTCTTCTGCAGCTGGTCAAAGTCTGTCTTCTGCTGTTCATATCTGTCTTCCAGCAGCTTCCTTTTTCTCTTCTCATCTTCAGTCTCATAAGTCAGCCTTGTTATCCTCTCATTCAGATCTTTTATCTGAGCATAGCATTTGTCTAGGTTTTGCTTAGCAGAGCTGCCATCCATCTCAGCTTGCCTCTTTGTCTCTTCCAAGCCCATGAGTTTGGCTTTCAGCTGAGAGCATTCCAGCTGGTACTTCTGTAGGTTTTGCTCCAGGAATTTATGCTTGTTGCTGTTGTCTGAATTGGCATCTCTAGCCAGTCTCAATTCTTCTTCCAATAGTTCTATTTTGGTGCTTTTCATCTGTAGAATCAGAAATCAAAGATATAGATTACCTTTGGCAGTCATATTTGGACCAACTGAATACAATACAATACTATTTTAGACAAAAGAACACAACAGTGGTTCATTAAGAAAATACTCCTTTATTCCCTGAGGTCTTCTGGGGATAATCTGCTGAAGACTGCTTCTGCAAGATTAATGTCAACTACCTAGAGGACTTCAGGGTTGCACCTAAACTGTGGAATGGCCTGCCGGGACAGAGAATCCACCTGGATTAGTGGGTGGCATACAAATTGAAAAACAAGCAAGCATGCAAACAAAGAAATAAAAAAAGTGCCTGATACTCCAGACAGCATGCCACCTTCAAGAGGGAGTTAAAGTTGTACCTCTTCTGAGAGGCCTTCCCAGATTAGTTTTATTTAATAAGCTTTATTTAATAGTCACAATTTAATCACTGTTGGTTTTAATCTCTGGTAAACCTCTCAGAGTCTAAGGGAATGAAGTGGTATATAAACGTTTAAATAAGTAAACAAACAAAACAATCATTGGGTTATAACAGTCATTGGGTTTTCTTGTTAACCGTAATAGTCCAGATATTATTAAGGATGCTGAGTTTAATATGTTACAGTTTTCAACATGATTACCTTATACTCGAGAATTATCTGAGGGAAAAGTATGCCATGGGTACTGAAATGGAGATCTGACCCTGAAAACTGATCTGAGTCTCAGCTCTGGGGTTAACTGAAAGTGTGGTTAACTGAAAGCTAATCTTTGGGGGTTTTATTTTAAAACTGGGATTTATTAGTGGCCCTGAGACAGAAAGTGAGGATAGTAATGTTTTATATATAAATAAATATGTGTAAATACATAAATCATGTTGGCCGTATAGCCGGTCTAAATCTTTCCCTGAACAGGTTAATTTCTAAAAGATGATGACGATGAAGAGAATCAAACCTGCCAGGTAATGCTAAATTTCCAGTGCCCTAATTTCTGACATGTAGCATTGCATGATGGCTCCTCAAGTACAAGTGAAATGTACTCTTCATATGCTCAGCCTCTCTTATTATTGCTCTGCACGTTCTTATGGTAACTTGTTCCGTGCAAAGCTAGTATGTGACCAGATTCAGGGGATGTGGGGCTGCTGAAGTTAAACTGAAAACTCCATCTACTGTAATAGGAAAAGGCAAGAACCAATGTGCACACACAGCTAAGACACCATTTCCCCTGAAATGTCCCCTTAAAACTGCTGTTGAGGGAATCAATTGCTTGGAAAATCATTTTGCTGGATATTGAAAATGGAACATATTGAGGGAAGCTGAGCTGTTTATTAGAGTACAGTGAATGTTTTGTTTCTGTCAGAACAGTGTTCAAACATGAAATCCCTTCTCTGAGGTCTGAATTAGTCTAGTCCACAAAAACCTGTATCATGTGACTTTGCTGCAAGTGCAGATCAAGTTTAAATTTAAAAAAAAAAATCAAAATGAAATACAGCAAGTTTTAACTTGATTTTAGTTACAGAAATGTGCTTACTGCCTAATAAGGCTTAGAATGTTACTTATTATTCATTAAGATGGTGGTGGTGGTGATTTACAAAGCTCCTACAATTGCTAAACAAGGAAAGAGAGAAATTACCTTTAAATCTTCCAAGCTCTTTAGCATTTCACTCAAGAATTTGTAATAATCTCCTGATCTGGTAAGAAGCTCAATGTATCGAGACTGAATCTCTGCAGCCTGAGAAGAGGAAAAAATAGGAATCTATTGTAAGGCTATCTCAGATACCATTTTTAACATGCATCAACAGTTTTTGAGCGTTTTGTAACAAAACGGCAGCTTAATTTCTAAATCCTGCATTATCAGGGTTCTAAATTAAATGAAGGACCTAGCTAAGTAGAGCAGGCATTCCGCTGCAGAAGTACACCCCACAACGCAGAGAAAACTGAGGATCCAGATATGGTGCTACAACAGAGGGGACAGTGCCCAGTCTCACTGCGTGACTTCAAAAGCTTCATGATGTCACTGCCTTAAGAGGACATACATACTTTTTTTGTACATTGTTCCCCCCCCCCCCCTTTGTTGACAAAATAACTCCTACCCACTCTTGCTTCAGAACTGTCTGAAACAATTACCCCATCGGGTTAAACCAAACACACCTTTCAAGAAGGTTCCACCAAACAAGAACATTGCAAATATTATGAAAGGGATGGGCATGTACCTCCTGCAGAATTAGCCCTGAGGGAGACTGTACCACAGTCCTCTTGACAGGAATGTTCAGTATGGTCTCCAGTCCTGAACTGTAGGCTGCAGCCTGGAGTTCATAATCCTGAAGAACGAGAAGAAAGAGGACTACATTTTATAAGTGTTGTTGGCCTATGTCTCCTGGCCTGCCTTTTCAGAACTACAGAAAGGCAATAAATCCTCAGTCAGTCGGGTGAAGGGAAAGAGAAATAAAAGGGTTAAGAGTGAGGTAAGAAATGGCTGGAGAGAGGTGCAGTGCTTTTTTATATAAAAGGATATTTAAACGGGCAGCTGGTTTAGATAAGGATAGCAAAAACGGTTTCCTCATAAGAGCAAATACACGGGAGTTAAAAAACAAGTTTTAAACTTCCCATAGGTAAGTCAGCCGCAGCAGGAAAGGTGAAAGGTGGCAGGAAAGGCTGCCAACAGAAGCCTAAACACATTTTGTTGAAAAATGACCTAAATGTCCATACAACTTAATCCCTAGCATGTTTGGGATTGCAGTCTGAGTAGACAGATAGTTTATATATATTGAAATGAATTCTGCCTTTTCTTCCCCTTGCAAAAGTCTCCCTGACGAAGATTGGGCTCTGGCGTTCAGAAGTCAGCACTGGCGTTTTTCAAAGTGTGAACTGCAGGTTTCAAACTAGGTTGCCAGATTTTTTTTTCCCAGAAATTTGGCAGTTAGTAATGGGATCTGCATTGTATACACATTAGTTTGCCCATTGCTGAGCTGACTGTGATGGGAAATGGGAGAAGGAAAGGAATTTGCCCTAAGATTAAGAGAGCAACATTGTAGGATTAAGCCTTTGTAGTAACAATACATTCTTCTGGGAAAGCCTTCAAATATCCATACCTTGATTGCAGCTGAGCACAGCTCTGCGTTCTTGATCACCTCTTCCACTCTATCCCGTTTGCCTGTTATTTCACTGTGTAAGTTCTGCCAGAAAAGAAAAAAAATGTATGAATTTTAATCAGATTTCAAACAGTCATGGTTTCTGCTGGTTCAAGAGACAGCGCCTAACAATTTAGTCACCCTGAATCCCAAAGACTCTGTGGGGGTGAGAACATTTAGACTGACTTCCACCAAGCTGAGATTTGAACTTGGGGCATAAAAGTTTCTAACTTGTGCCCTTTACAGTACTGTTATACTAAGTGAAATTCCCTCATGACCCAAACTAACTCCATATTCTTCACTGATTATAAGCTGATCTCAAGCTAGCGGAACATTTAGCACAAGACAATACCTTTTGCTCCTGCAGGTATCTCATGACTGTGTTGACATCTCCTAACTTCATGCTCTCATTCGTGTCCTGCCGGCGCTTGGCATCACAGATCCATTTATTCAAAGCCTGGTAAAGGTCTCGGTATGTTCTCAGCTGCTTCACCTGTTTTTCTAGATCCCAAGTCCTGCAAGACACGCAACAAAATATAGACATGCCTAAAGGTGCCTCACTCTAAATTCAGACCAATGATCCACTGGGCTCAGGACAGCCTCATGTGACAAGGACAGCAATTCAAGATGCATGGTCAAGTCATGGTCCCCCTTTCAATCCAAGATGCCAAGGATCAATCTTGAGACCTTTATGCAAAGCATGTGCTCTGGCATGGATCTCTTGCCCCGCCCAAGAACAGGGCAAGCCACTTGCTCCCTTGGGAAGCCTTGATTTTGCTCCAAGTTAACCTCCACATCATGCCACAATTGCAACAAATACAATTGTTGACTGATGTATTTTCAAAAGCATTTCTTCTTTGACCAATGATAATATTTTTAAAAGCCTCCAATGTTCTGTATGACATCCCTCTCTAAAATGTAATAGATAAACCTGGCTCCCCATAAAGAGCTGGCCAAGAGCAAGAACTTCCCAAATGTGACTGCAAAGGTCATGGAAGCACATTTTCAGTTCCCAAGATGAACAGGTCAACTCTTCACAGTTTAGCCTGGGATTCCAGTGAAATTCAGCAGGATCAAATTTACATAAGACATTTAGGTTGCCAGTGTTTACAATCCCTAAAAATCACTTTTCCAGAGCTCTGATTTACTAGCAAAAGCTGGATCAAAACAAAGTTTTATGTGCCTAGCAACTAGAACTCACAGAATGCTGTGTAATGCACAGTAGGATGTGTGTTTCACTGTAAAAGAATGATGACTGCAGGGGAGTAGGAAATCAGTCTTTAGAAAACACAAACACACCTGTCATCAATTTGTTTCTCCACCCTTTGCCAGCGGTCATTTAGCTGGTTGACTTTGTCAGTGTACTTTCCAAGATCTAATTCATACAGAGGATACATCTGACAAGACTGCGAGTGAACCTGAAGGACCCTTTGCAGCTCTGCTTCCAAGGTACTAAGCAATGACTTCTTCATGCTAAGGTCTGCTTTCATTTTCTGGGGAAAGAAAAAATAAATAAAGTATGTAGACACAAAAATAATTCATCTTCTGCCTCCTAAATCTCAGCAGAAAGTGAACTAAAATTAAGATCCTGACTGGTTTAAGGAAGGAAGACATAGTCTCTAACTTATTCAGGAAATTTTAGAAAAGGCAGAGAAAACAGAGGTGAACAACATCCTTTTTCATGGGAAATAACCATTTATTTTTGGAATTATTTCTAAATCATGAATAGCAACACCTTGATACTTTTCCTATATTTGAAATGAGAGGAATGCTAGCATTGGCGATGTTTGCACAAAAGTACAGGCCTGGCTTAGCATTCCTGAACAGCCGATGCATTCTGCCCAAACAACACACCTCCGCACAGGAGTAACTGCAGTGACCACTCACCAACATGAACAAATCTAGTTGTTGCAACCAAACTCTTGATCTGTCGCTACCCTAACAAGCCAGATACTGAAGTCGAGGTTGAAGCTGGCTTCCCATTCCTGGCCTGATATGAAAGCGACAAGCCAGAAGTCCTGCTTTGAATGCCATACTAAGCTTTCCCTTGTTGGTTAGCCTCCGGTTATTGTAGCCACCCTGCTGCTGGGAGGAGACAGTCAGAAAAATTGGGTAATATGCACAACAAGCCAGGATTCGCTAGAATTTTGGCTTAAAATTTTGTCTGACCATGGCCAATGTCGGTAACCAATTCATGGCTCTCCCCCTAATTTTTTGAAAATCTTCTCTCGCACCTTCAAGCAAGCTCGATACGCTTCCACTTTATCTGGGTCCAAGGAAAGAGTGTCCTCTTCCGTCAGTCTGACTTCAAACACTCGGATCACATCATCTGCTTGGAGGATCGCCTGAAGCAGTGATTGCAATGAATTCAAGCTGCAGTCAAACAACACCATTAAGAAAAACAGTCAGATCTATTGTTGGGGAAAAATTATTTGAGTTTACTCTCCCCCAAATTTTCCTTGTATGGCTACAGCTGTCCCAATATTCTATACTGAAAGAAATGAAAGTTGCAATCAGTGGACACTTACCTGGGAGTAATCCCCATTGCACAGCATGGGATTTACTTCTAAGTAAAAATGAACAAGGTTTCCTTGAAAACAAGGACAATCACCAAGATATATCAAGAAAACAACACTCCCAATAGTATGGTCCATCCCACCCCCATGCCATTTAACAAAGATCCATCTTTTTAGCTTTGTGGCTCTGTCCAGGCAAAAATCAGGTGAGGAAAGAAAAAAAGCAGCTGGTGCACCCATGCGAACCCACCTAAAACAGTCAGTGCAGCACAATGATTAGAACCATTAGCTATGAGGACTGTGGGCTTAGGGGCTGGCCTAAGGTACCGGTGAGCAGAAAGCAGATGTTTTGGACTTCAGCTCCCAGCATTCCTGACCACTGGCTATGATGGCAGGAGTTTCTGGAAAATGAAATCCAAAATTTTTGGAGATCTACCATCTTGCCACCCCTAGCCAAGGTTGCGGAAACTTCTTTTAGCTCAGACAGTAGGAACTAGTGGGCATAACTAGGTAAGTTACTATGACAGCTAATTCTTGCTTTAAAGATGATTTTGTATCTAATGTTGTTAAGGGGTGGGTAAGGAAGAGGAGGGAGGGAGGGAGGGAGGGGAAAACTCACTCTATACGAGGATTTCATTCCACATGAAAGATGTCATTGGATTACAAGTCCCATCATCCCTCACTACTGGCCACGTTACCTGAGACTAATGTAAGAAGACCTCCACCGACCTAAGGAAGATCATGTGTTCCCCTTATTCTGCTGAAGAACTTAGATCTGCTTAGCAAAGAATGCCAGTCCATTTCTACTGAATATTAATAGATCAGGGTATAGTTTGGATATAAAATCTTCTTCAAATTTTCATTTGATTAAACAGACACACTAATGATTGAAAAGCAAAGCACATTCCTATAACGTGGATAAGCAGCAGATGCCACGGTCTATTTTATCCATTTCCTTACCTGTCCAGATAACCAGCAGAGACCCCATTGATATTTTCCAGTTTCTGAAACAAAGCACTGATTTCGGACTGCAAATAGAGATACTTTTCAGAGCCTCTAAAATTGGGAAGATAATCCTTCTGCTTGTTGAGAGCATCTGCCATTGCCTGGGATTCACTTTGGACACCCTAAAGAACAAACAAAAAATATTGTGCTCCATACGTTTCTTGGAGTCAGATGAATAGCCTGCAAGTAACTTATGATTAATCTCGTCTTCCAAATTATCTGTTGCAGCTAATTCTTTTGAGAGACAAAGGGCTCTCCATGCCATTCTCATTTCCAACTGTGCAAGGTGGCTTTCCTCTGAGCAACTGCCATGCTCACGCTTGGAATCTGATGAACTTCACTGCAATCCTGAAGAGCTCTACCATAGGGGCCCCCAATATTTGGGAAGCTATGGGCATATTTGGGCCTTTGAGAAACTACTGTGAGTGCCCCCACAAAATGCCTCATCAATGGATCACCCTTTTGGCTCCTGCATGTTGCATCTACGCATCTTAGGCTGCACATTTTTCAGTAAATTTTTGGAATACTTTCTATTGGATACTACAACATTTATGGAATGCCACTGGCAGTACAATGGAGGTAATGCTTCTTTTAAACTTATGTTTTGGTTCTGTTCAGTAGCTGCTTCTTTTTCATGGGAAGGTTATTATATAAATTTTATACTGATATTGTCCTTTAATATTCACTGATGTAGATGCACTTCTAAATTCTTTAGCTGCTTCATGGAAATTAAGAGATGGTCAATGTAAATAGATTCTTTGAAACCTTCTGACAGCTAAAAGGCTGATATTACACTGTTGGAAGGATAAGTATTTTCCATCTTACTGGATGGTATGGAACCATGCAAGGATGTCAATATCTGAATGGTAGTAGATTGACACCACCATCAAATGGATATTGATTTGGATGTTTGGCCTGTTTTTTTTGAAGCCTATGTATCATTGCTAGAAATCTGTATGCATTTCATACAAAGCTAGGCACAGATTCAAAACCAGAAGCATTTATTTTAGAAGTCTGGGTGCCTTTAGGCACCATGCTGGGGACCCCTTTGCAGATACCAGTGATACCGTCAGTTGGCTCATGCCACTCACAAGTGGTGCACTACGAACCCCCCTTGTACCATACTTCAAGCTCCTCACCATTGCAGAAAGACCAGCCCCATCAGCAGTGAAGGGTTAGGACTCTCTTTGCAGCCTAACCAATTCTGTCTGTAGAATACTAATGTGCACTGAAGAAAAGGGGTGCAACTATGCTTAGTGTTGACTTGCATGTGCAAGCAGTGTATCTCCAATAAACAGCTTGGGACCAGGTTACCTGAAGGAGGACCTTAAAATAAGGCACTCCAGAGCTTTCTGGTCTGCTCCTTCCACCAATCTCAGGAAGAATGGCCAATGTCAGGGGTGACTGAAGTTGGACTCAGTCTTGAGCAGCACAGGTACTCAATTCTGCTTTAAAATCTACCCTGCTTTTTTCATCCACAATGTTATGTTGGTAGGGAGCAAGGACAAGGCCTTTCCAATAGCAGTCACATGTGTCTGTAATTCTTTTCCTCAGGAAACAGCATTGCTGGTCTTGAAGAGTTCCTTTCAGACATTTTTATTCCAGTGTGCGTTTTCCTAATTTCAAAATGTTGTGCTTTAAACATAAATATCCATGCTGATTCCAAATTAGTGAAACTGATGGAGAGATTTTATTTTGATGTTGTGTATATTCACTCTTCTTAAACCAAATGTGGGGGAAAGGTGGTTTAAAAGCAACCTTTTAGCATCTTTAGTGTCCCAGATCTTTCAAATAACTAAATAATCCTTAAAACTGTATCTGCACTATAAGCAGTGGTGACTTTCTGTTATTTAGACTGGTAGACTCCAGAAGGGAGATTGGGATTTACTGCTAGATTTGGCTTTACTAACATCAGATTGATACGGCTTTCTGTGTCCCAACTGTGTAACTATATCAACAACATATGATTCTCCCCCACCCTAAATTACAGTGCTAAAATGAAGCAAATAGGTGGGAGGGGTAGGAAGGAGGAGTAGATTTTTGGAGTAGACTGCGACCCCCATTCAGTTTTAGTAGTAAAGATCAATTCTTGGACTCAGCATTCTTTAACGCAATATTTTTTTGTACCTGGTGGGTTTTAAGGTTCTTGTAAAGAACCAGTTCTAACTGATCTGAATCAAACCCACCACACTGCACCTATTCATTCATTTAAGGTGCAATATAAAGGCTGCTTAGACAGAAAATTTTCTTTTAACTCCTAATATTTCCCAGACAGCCATGATTTGAATGTTCATAGGATTCTGTCTTAATTTATTTTAAAATATATGTCCAGACTTGCTTTCAAGGCAGGAGCCCTCCCAAAGTGACTTGCCCAGGAACGTTCCATACAATAAAGTCCACAAAAAGTTCAGACTCATGTGCACCTCTAATTCGCTGATTCTGATACATAAGTTGTGAGAAGCCCCTTGATCCAGTTGCAGCAGGGTTCTCTGCACCATCCGGAGCTCACAGTTTTCGATCTGGCGCCGAAGTTTCTGGAGTTCCATGAGCATCCAGGTCTCTTGCTTGTCTGGAATGACAGTTGTTACCACTTGGGGGGGAGGACATTGTGGGAAAATGACCGGCTGGGTTGCTTTTAAGCTTTGGAAAGAAGGCAGGCACAACATCACAGTCAATGAAGTGCTTCAGGCACAGATTTGAAATAATGTGTATACGCTGTTAATTAAGATTTCCTTTATCCTACAAAGAACATATAGTGAAAAGAATAGGCCAGAGGCTAGACAAGTCCCCATATAACCAAAATGAGTTTTGCTGTCTGTTGACATCAAATCACCTGCAGAATAATAAATAAAAAAATCAAGCAATTCTTAGTTCAGGCTTGCTTTTCATGCAGTACTTCTCTGCAACAGGGGTCTGCACAAATTATGATCTGCCAAGATAAATACAGACAGTTCTAGCTAGGAACAACCTGTACTTATGAATGAACTGCCACAAAGCCTATTAATTTTTAAAAATTAGAGGGAGAGAAAGTGAAAGGGGAGAGAGAGCAGGCCCCCAAGCATGCCTTCCTGCCCCAACCATCTGAAGAAGCAAATCTCTCTGGCATTTCCTTGCTGCAAAGAGGCGGCACTGGTGAGTTTGGGCAGAGAAGTTTTCCATTTTCATAGGGGTCCTGTGCCCCAACCCCCAAAATATGGAGGTCTGACTATATGTGAGTCGCCTTACATACAAATCCAACTTAAAGAGTCATTCCAGTGACCGTCCTGTATATAACATTAGCCATGTACCATGGTCTAACAAGCTTTTCAACAGGGCTCAGTGTTTAGCCCAAGACACTACAGCAAAAATAAAGAAAAGAACATAAACAAAATGTGAATAGGTATGCCAAATCAAGCCTGTTTTACTCTACCTACCTACTGCCCATTAGCTGAAACAGCTCTCTGTAACTCCGAGGAGCATCGTACATGGTCAGTGCTCAGCTTAGTGCAGGTGGTATTCAACCTCTTTCAGGCCAAGGTCTGGATTCTATTTTAGAGATGCTCTCACAGGTAGCATCCCAGTGGTGAGCAGGACCAAAGGCAAAAGCAGTGGGTTCAACAATGCCAGCCTATATTAGCTTTAGGAAAAGCCTCTGAATCTTTTAAAAAGGCAGGAAAACTGCACAAAGCCAAGAAGAAGGTGGAGCAGGGAGGGAAACATGTGAGCCACTGTAGAAACCTTGAATAAGGACCGCAAGCAGGCTCATTTTGGCTTGCAGATATGAAGTTGCATGTTGGCTCGTGACGTGAAACATGATGACAGCGTGCAATAAATGGTATATATACCAGCATCCCTACAGAATGCAAACCTGTTGTGGGCACAACTATTGTCTGCGATGCACCGGGTAGCTGGATGACCAACGTCTGGTAGTACTTCTGGGCATCAGAGAACTGAGTCTGGATTGTCCTCTTATCATCATCACCAAACATCTCTGAGCCTTGGCTGTTCCTGAGGAATTCTCGATAATGGGTCTCGAGGTCAGCAATCACCTTCAGATAATCTTCCTTGCGCATTGTCTTCAGCTGAAAGAAACAAGAATATAAGACAAAGTTGGCTGGATCAGTCCAATGATCCACCTAGTCCAGAAGTCTGTTCACACAAGGGCAAACCAGCTGTCCACAGGATTCCTCAAGCAGGATGGGTCCAGAACTTCCACCTCCCCAAGTGCCTTAGCAGCTGGTATATACATATGTGCCATTTCTGATAATGAAGGAGGCACACAGCAGCAAGGCTAACAGTCACTGACAGCGCCCTCTTCCAAGACGTTGCCCAATCCCCCTTTAAAGTCCTCCAAACTGGTGGTGATCACCAATTCTTGGGGCAGTGAGTTCCATAGTTCACACAGTGCATTGTGTGAAGAAGTACTTCCTTTTAGCTGCCCTAAATCTCCCACTGATCAACTTCATGAAATTACCCCGGGATCCAGTTCTGTGGGAGAGAGGATGTTCCTTTATACTTTCTCCACACCATGCCTATTTTAAACACCTCTATCATGTCTCCCCTTACTTGCCTGTTTTCTAAGCTAAACATTCCCCATTGTTGTAGCCACTCCAGTCCCTTATTTTAGCTGCCCTTCTCTGCACTTTTTCCAACTTGATATGGTACTTTTTCAGGTAAGTCAACCAGAACTGTACATAATATTCTAAGTGCAACTGTGTAAAATTTGTATAAGAGAGTACGATTTTGGTAGTTCTGTTTTCGATTCTGTTCCTAATTACGCTTAACATGGAGATTAGGCATATGGGCAGGAAGTGTTTAAGGAAAAGCACCAAAACTGGTGCATGGGAAAGTGAATCACCAGAGAACACACTGCCCTCCAAATGAAGAACTAGATTTGATGAATGGCAAAATACTGGAAGAATACTTTTTTGCTGTTGTTGAACTAAAATGACAGAGTGGTTAGCCAAGCAAGTTTATGTTAGAATGAAATGGCTAAGGTTACAAATTCTGGAATGTGCAGATAAGAACAGGGAGTATTTGTGTCAGCAAAAGCAGAGCTGCCTGCAAAGTCACCAGCCATGTTATCAGCACAAGACAAAGCTTGAGAAAAGGCAGACAGGAACTCCCAAGCCTGGGATATATATTCCCAAGCCTTGTTCTATTTGTAGCTGGTAGTAAAAGTAGAAAAATACACCATTTAAAAAGACTGTGGTTAGCCATTCACTAGAGAGGCATTATATGCATGCTGAGGAGCAAGCTATGGGTTACTTTCAAATATTTGCAATGATGCTATAATACATTCATTTTTCTTTCAAGAAAGCTACTTCAAATCATCTATTTTGGATTGCAAAGTGGCAGGGTCACTTGTGCCAGTGCCCAAAGCATACATAAATTACTATACAGATGTGAAGGGAAAACCAGCAAGCTCTAATCCCCCATGTCAGTTAATCTGGCTAATATGCAGAGACACTTAGTTAAGATTATATTCATATCTTGTTTTCCTTGTGTCCAGTCTCATGAGCACTATCCCATCTCACACATGTAGTCCAACTCACTACTTTTCTGAATGTGTAGGAAGAGAACACCCACAGCCTACATGGGTAATTAGCAAAAGGATTTGGCAAAGGTTTAGGCCCTCTTCTAGGTGGGGCTCTTACCAATTCTGAACATGGCAACCATTACACAGCTGTGGCTTCCACCCATAAATGCCTCTGAGTAACTGCATGTAAGAGGACCCTGTCTCGAAAGGAACCTGGCAGGTGTACATTAAGCAACATGTTACACCTAGAAGACAATCCCTAAGCTCACTCAAGTTAATTCACCACCTACCTTAGCGATAGTCAAGGTCTTGATTTTCTCAATGTCGATCATGCAGTAATGCCAAGACACCAGGCTCTTCATGTTGATGTACAGCTGATTCCAGAGAGCCATAATAGCATCATAGTATTGTTCAATCCTGATGGGCAATGGAAGGGTTATTTATAGCAAAAAACCAACACCCAAATCTCCTGGTCCACAAAAGATTCAGCTGCTATGAGCAGGTAAGTAATCCCTGCAAATTTCCAGTGGTTCCAACAGTAACACAGGCTCTTTTTGCAGCATGGCTATTATTTGCTCTTAGCACAGAGATTCCCAAACTACTTGCCACCAGGAAGGATGAGGAATGCCTTGAAAAATTAGTCCAGAATAATGGATACATTCAACTTTCAGTGGAAAGGACTGATTTTCCACTCTGCTGAAAAATAAATACTGCCTTAGGATTCCTGTACTATAGCTAGTTAATGGTGGAGAATCTTAGGAGTATCATTAGCACCCACTCTTGGTCTCTGGTGGACTGGTCAAAGGTTGGGATGCCAAGAGACTGGTGTACCATCACAAGCAGGATTTGTGCCCACTGTTCTCAGACAGGTGGGCAAGTTGTGGACCTCCAGAACAATGCCACGATCGAGGTAACAAAACTCTCTGCAAAATGCCATTTCAGCAGCATAAATATACTAACATATACCCAAGTGTTTGGTACTTAAAAGTGACAAAACAGTCCTACAGGTCACCTGGTACATATTAAGAAAATTCAACCTTTAAGCAGCTTTCCCCAGCTGTGTGCCTTCCAGACATATTTGGACTGCAACACCCAGAATTCCCAGTTAATGGCCTTGTTGGATGGAAATTCTGGAAGTTGCAGTCCAAAAGCCTCTCTGGGCTCCCAGGTTGGGGAAGGCTGATTTAAAGGAAACAAAAGGTGACCAGGAGCAAGGGGCATGACTGGTCAGAATAAGTTCTGTCACAGAAACATTCTCCCCTCTACCCGCAAACACAAAGTGTGGATCCAGGAGTTGCTCTCCACATAAGGACTCTGCTTTTTGGAAGGCCCCTCCACTATCGGCCCTTCCTTGTCTTCACCACTGTTCAGTCCAGCCAGGGTCTCCTGGCTTTTTCTGTAGCATCTTCCTGGCTTTTGGAGAGGCTGCCATGGGAAGGAAGGGGCAGGAAAGTCTACCTGAGGCAGCACATTTGAGCCAACTTAAATCTGGATCCAACCCCATATCACAGATTTTGCCTACTAGCATCAAATAAACAATGTCTAGCTGGGGAGATGGGTAAAAGGAGCCCTTCCAACCTCTGTTTTATACTCAGCCAGGCCTTATTTGATCCAACTAGGAGACACAGGCATGCTATGCAAAAAGGGGGCAGGAAGAAACCCCACTTCTGTAAGGCTTGCCACAGTTCAAGTGTTAGGGTTGGGTCGATAACTCACTTGGTTGCCAGGTCCACGGCTAACGGATTCGGTGGCGGGATAATGAGACTGACGGACGGCACTAGCATATCTACTCCTCCTGGTCCAGTCACGTGCCACTTGCTGCGCTCGCTGTTGTCTTTCAAAATGCACTCGTCCCCTTTGCGCATCGTTTTCTAATAAAAGAGTTTTTAAAAAGTAGGCATGGCTGCACTAGAACACCGTGTCTACCTTTAATATGTTTTTGATATTAGGGTTTAGCTGACTTCCATGCTGGTCCATGACAACATGATTGATGAAACATGAAAACATGAAATACAAGGTCATGTTTACTGAATTACTTGTAAAAATTTAAAGGCAGTAGTGTGTACTTAACTTACATTTAAGAGGGAAAAAGGGTCCTGATAATTACTGACATACTAATACGTTTTAGCAACCAAAAGAACTATGAACAGAGTTCAACTTTCATCCACTGAATTTGTCAGAGCCCTTTCAGTTTTGCTGTCATATTCATAAATTCCCTTTCACTCAGAGATAAAATGAATTTCAGTGACATACATATTTATGAGACAGACCCATGAAACACATCCATGATAAATAGGAACCAGTCAATCTTGCCTAATACTTTTGCAAGTATTTGCAATCAATGTACGTTCACTAATAAACTTATGAAACCAAACAATTTCTGTGGAAAAATGAAGCAGTGGGAAAATTTCTGCCCTGCTTCACTGTGCCCTACATATTGTTTTTAGGTAGACTTTAGTTACAGAGCTTATATGTAGGCATACTGTACCTTGTCCTAAGCCTCTGGAATAAGACCTAGCTGGAAATCTAACTAGATATGATTGTGCTTCGCAAATATCTGAGTGCCAGAAAAAGGCAGCTCCAGTGCCTTTGCCCACAAGAGCTACTGCAACCCTGGAAAGGGAGCCATGGCTTCCAAGTGCTTCTATTCTATAGCTCCATGGTGTACACAGACCATCAATAATGTCATCTTACCAGATCTTGCTTGTAATCACACAGAGCCTTGAGAATGATGGGCTTATTGCTCTTGTAATCAGGGTTGCGTGGCTTGAGCTGCACTATCTTCTTTGACTTGTTCATCAAATTCTGCACCTGCCTCTTGTATTCCAGAATTTTCTCTCGCTCGTTCTAGAAACGCAGAAAAGGATAGTTAATAGAACACTTGAGTTGAACAAGACACCCTGCTCCCCAGCACTGAGCTGTGTTTGTTATAGATCAGTTCTGCAACTTCAGGAAATCAAAACATGGCAACTCACCCTCAGGGACTGATGATGGGTTGAATGTGTGTCATTGCTGAACCATGGCTTATGTTCTCTGAATCCAGCTGTGTCAACAACCCTTCATTAGCCACAAACCACCAATGAAGAGTAGGCAGTTTGTTGCTGGGTTGTGAACTGCAGGTTTGTGGTTAACAATGGTTTGCTAGCATGGCTGGTTCCAGACAAGCCAATAACCACAGTTGAACAACAATTCATGGTTCAACAACAACCCATACTTAACCCTTCAGGGTGAGTTATTGTATTGTCTGAACCCAGTCATTGGCTGGATTCACATGACACAGTAAACAACCCTGTGCTGCTTCCATGGCATGTGGATTTTTGGCTGAATTTGCTGGTCAGGCAATCATATTTCCATGCTCCTCACTCTGTCCTCTCAGCATCACCACACATCCCAGCAAAGCCCACAAGTGAAACACCTGCCCTTGGATTACAGCAGCCTCCTCTTGATTGATCCCAAGGATGGTTCCCTCCTCTCCACGCCCAAATATACCTGCATGTCTGTGGTACTTCCCAGCTGCTTGATCCCCCAGAGATTTTTATTAAAGGCAAACAGTTTTGCTGCAATCCCCCCTTTTTGCCTCCATGTATTTTTGTGCGGCCTCCCCGTGGAAATAAAGCAATTAACAACACATCTGTTGCTAAGATGCTGAAGGCAACAGAGATCAGAAGAGAGAAGCAGCCACTTCCGCCACCACTCTTGCCAAGGGACTCTACAGTGTTTTCATACCAGCAATTATAAAATGATGAACACAGATCCAGATGCTGATGAAGCCGTGAGGACACTTGGAAATCTCAGAACCAATTATTGAGTCTTGCTATGATTTCAGAAAAATAATTGGACTACACCAGAATGCTGAAAAAGTGTCCAGATGAGACCCATGACTGGATGATTTCATCATGGCTTCTTATGTCACGCAAACCTGCCCTTTATTTATTTATTTAGGAAGCTTCTATGCCGCCCCATTCGCCGAAGCCTCGGGGCGGCTTACAACAATAAATAAATAATCATAATATAAAAGCAATATAATTTGAGACGACCTGGCCAGAGATATAAAATAAATAAATAATATTAACAATTAAAATGATGTTTAAATAAAAAGGTCTTCGCCTGGCACGAAAAAACAAATAACGACGGCGCCAGGCGGACCTCTCTGGAGAGCGCATTCCACAGATTGGGCGCCACCGCAGAGAAAGCCCTCCTCCGAGTACTTACCCTCCTTATATTATCTCTGTAGATGTTAATGGTAACCAAGAACCAGTGTGATACAATTTATTGTATGCTGGAGAAAAAAAGCCTTCCCCAAACTGGTGCCTTCCAAGGATCTTCCAACTCCCACAATCCTCCAGCTAATTATGCTGGAGGAGAAAATGATGGACCCAAGAGGCAGCCAATAAGGAAAGATGAGATAGCTTTAAAACAACTAAGTGGAATTGGTTAAGGAATACCTGATGATTATTAAAAATGTTTCCGTGCCAAACGTATGACCTATGTGTAACAAAAACAGCTCAAAAGAGGCCACTTAGACTTATCGTATCATCGTGACAAGAAAGCCAAGAAGCTGCCATTTCCCCAGGCTTCTCCTCCACAGCTCTCCTTTTCAAAGCATCCCTTAAGAAAGACCTGAGTGCTTGCTTCAAAGAGTCCATGAAAGCAGTGTCATCACTCAATGGATGAGTTCACATGACATGACAAACCATGGTGGTCTATTGCACAGGATGGTCTATCATGTCATCTGAACCCTACTGGGGCATTTCAGCATGATATATTTGATTTTTGGAAACCATGATAAATGATGGTCTGTTCTATGGTGTCCACACTTCACCATGGTTTCTCTGATCATCGCCATTGTTTCCATGGTCCTGGTATGCAGCTACCACAGAGTTCCCTGGAAAGAATGGCAGTTGCTGCATGAGCAGTTCCAGACATTCAGTGTGGGATTGAATTTTAGGCGAGGTGGTTGATAGGATATGTGCCAACAGTGAAAGTACTGAACAAGGATGGTGGAAACCATGCTAATGTAGAAATCATTTAATTGTCTGTCAGGCACATCTAGATAAAAAACCATGCACCATGGAAACCATGCAGGGTTGCTTGTCATGACAAGTGAACATGACAATGACTGCTTATTGAGAGACGGCTTACATCATGGCTAGCCAATGAGAGCTACCCTGATGAGCAGTCATGTCACCTTAATGACTTTCAAACACAGTGGGTTGGATCCAGATTATTCACACTTAAAAAGGATCCCCAGAAATCTATGGGATTTAAGTTTGTTATGACTAACTTAAGTTCCACTGATTTCAACAGGTCCATTTTGTGAATGACTACTCCTGAACCTGACCCAGTACCTTTCACAGGCAAAGCACTCAATGGTGAAATGTTGAGCCTTGTATATGGCACTGAAGTTGAGAGAAGTTTCAGCATTACAAAACACAGTGGCTACAATACCTCTAATTCTTTGATCTGCTCCAGCAGGACTTGCAGGGACATGTTTTTGTCGCAGATGAACTTTTTCCTGATGGCATCCTGTAGATTCTTCAAGTAGTTCTCAGTAGACTGGGCTTCCTCAAAAAACTACATAGAGACAAATAAGATGGTCTTTATAGGTTGCTTGTGACCACTGAAATGGGAATCCATCCTTCCTACGATAAATACTGGTCTCAGGAGAAACTTTCAGTCTAAATTTGTGGGATCAAGAATGGTTTGGATGTTATCTTTTTAAGGTTAGTTATGTGGAGCAAGTCAAATATACACTGGACCAGTACAAGCGAATAGAAAATGTAGCACAGCAAAAATGTGAATTCAATGCACTTTATGGATTTGTGAATAAATAAAATTGTTCTAATGGCAATCTGTATCTTTCAAGAGCAGAATCCAGATTTAGAGGTTTTATTTAGCAGGCTTTTCTTAACTGACAAGCCATACTTTAAAAATGGTAAGAATGAGAGATATTGCGTGTGATTGATTCTAGAGATGTGTAAGAAATTTGTTTGGGGGTGGAAATCCACTGGATTCCCTGGGATCGGCTTCCAGGACTCCAGTCAGCTTTGCAGCAGACTAGAGTCTGAGTACCAGGCAGGTGCTCCCCAAAAATTGACCCCCATGTGCTGCACAACCAGTGCCCCTCTTCTGTGCCCACCAGCAGCAGCAGCACCAGGTGAGGAAGAAGTTTAGTCACTGGAAAAGGCACCTGGCACTCCTGCTCACAGCGCCTCTTCATGCCCACCACTGCCAGCCTGTGCGGATGAGGAAAGGTGCTAGTTGTGCAACCAGGGTCTGCAACTGTGTGTGGATTTCCTCTGGGCTCAGTTCACTTTGCAGGACTGGGACAAGCATAAGAGGAAGTGCACAATGCTAGAGGGACAGATTCCAAAAGGGTTCCTCCCAGCCCTACTTGATACCCCTGCCTCCTGCCAATTATACAGATGAAACAGAGGGATACAAACCAGAGAGCTTTGGCTACAGGCAGGACAGAAATGTTAATAATAATAATAATAATAATAATAATAATAATAATAATAATAATAATACGATGCTGAATTGTTGGGGTGCAGCCCCTACCATACACACCTGAAAGTAAGCCGCATTCTCCTTGAGATGAACATCAATGCACTTGGTGATCTGAAGAATCCAGCTCCATTGAGTCTGCAGTGTATCCATGTAGGCCTGCCCATTTTAAAAATATGTAAGTTACAATTCATCCTTATACACATTCCATATGGCATCATATTTGTATGTATGTTTCTTTAAAACTAGTATAACTGATGCACCACTGACGTTTCAGGACAGCTTACAACAAAGGCAACAAATAAAGCAAAAAGCAAAGCAATGAAATAGAAGAAAGCAAGCACAAATGGCTTAAGAGTGAGCTGAAGACAAAACTTTGCATGGGTGAGTGATGGCCTTGTCCTCTGCCCTTCAGCAGTCTGACTCATTCCTCCCTCCCACTTTCCTTGACCTCCCTAACTGGCTTGTCTGCAAGTCCGGGAGCTGCAGGCAAGCAGAGAAATCCTCCTTTCACTGGCTCATGATGGCCCCTGCTTCAGGCAAGACTAGTAGGTGCCACAGCCAGGAGGAAACTGAGGGATGGACTTAGCCCAGCACTCCAAACAGAAAGTGCTCCATTACTAAATAATATTAAGCAGTCATCTGCATTAGTAAAGCATCAATGACTACCTCTAAGAGGGCCTCCCATGATTTTTAAGATATGCAACATGTGTGCATGTATGTATCCATGTATGTGTGCATGCCATCTTCCAGTTCAAGGTTCAGGATTTCATTCCCAATTCTTTCACTTCAGTAAAACCTTTGCCAATTTACTTTAACATTAGAACTGTAATATAGGCCGAAGATATACCTCAATTTTGTCTGAAGCTGGATGCTGGTTGAGCACCAGTTGGTCACATTCTTGCTTAAGCTTGTTAAGTTCTTTTTCTTTAACTTCCAGCTGGCTCATACGTTTCTGGAAACAGACCAGGACATGGCATTAAATGCAATTGTTGAAAGGAAATGGAAAACAGATCAATAAGGTCAGACTCCATTATAGAGTGATACTGGTATAATCAGTGTATTTAAACTATATCAGCATATTTGACTGTCTGATCCAGCCTGGTTTTTCTCAAGTTCTTAAGGTTTCCAGGTAGCTAAGAGAAGCAATAATAGCTCCGTGATATAGACTAACTGATAGATGAAAAGTTATCTGACCTGGTTTAGGGGAGCTTCCTAGATGATTCACACAAGTTAGCTAAAACAATATGCTACAAGGTTAGCAAGTTCACAAACCATTCAGAAATTTCATCAATTGAGCTACACATATATCATTATCTGACTTTAAATGGTACTAATATTGGATACAGCCCTTTAGGTGTCCTGAAGGAGAGCAGGAAAACATGCCCGTACCACTTCTCCCCACTCTTCTGGGTCTCAACCAAAAGGAGGCAATGAGTGTAGCCCCCAGTAAAAGGTGTGCACTTTCTCAGTCTTCCACTGGGCAACAAACACTTCTGCAGCTCTTCACTGGATGAGACCCTGCTGCATAAAGACAGGGAGCAAGACTCCGGCATGCTTCCCTTCCTGCAACCTGCCTGAAATGTCCAAAACGGCTCTTTTATCACAAATCTAGCAAAGATCTTTCATCTGCACTTTTAGAAAAATAAAAGCAACTTGCAAAAATTTTTTAAAATACTCAAATTTATGTTAATATAATCTGCAACTTCCGATTCTTTGGTGAACTCACAGAGAACGCCTCTTGTTTCCTGGCAATGTCAGTGTTTCGGTCACTCCAGTCATAGAGAAGCTCTTCTTCCTCACAGTCATTGATCCACATGATTTCCCTGCTAGTTGCTTGGATGATATTTTGCAGCTGACGCAGCTGGTCCATTCTTTCAAAGGAGAATTTCTACAAAACAACAGCAGCAAAGTAATTAATCTTTTTTTAATTTAAAGTTCAGATTATGAAGCAAAGAAATATGATATGAAGAGAGGGATCAAGAAAGCCGGAGCAACTAGTTTTGGCAGCAAATACACGCTGGCCATATTGGTGCTAAATTAAATCGAAAATGCATTATTTATTTTGATTTTGCTAGCCACAGGAATTGCCATAATGAAAAACTGCACTATGAATTGTCGACTTTAGAGTACTTAACAGCTAGAATGTTGTTGTTTTTAAAGAAAAAGGTATGAAGTTCCAGCCACTACGAGCTGGATTAAGTCTAGAGGGTTTTAAAAGCCATAGCACCAAAAAAAAAGTCCAAGAAATTTACAGTTCAAAGTCTGATTGGAATTTATATATGTAAACATTTATATCCTTCCAAAGAGCACAAGGCAGCATACTAGGTTGGTCCCTCTCCACTTTATCCACAAAACAACACTGTGAAGTAGGTGAGGCTGAGAGAAAGTGACTGGCTTAAGTTTATCCAGTCAGTATCGCAGCAGAATACGAATTGGAACATTAGGTTTTCCCTAGTTAACCATTACACCACAGGGAGGAAAAATGGTTGCAATCCAGAGCAAATTAATACAAGTTTTTTGCAACTGGGGATGAAGACTGGAGATGTTTTAAGCAGACACAGGATCCAATTCTTTTACATTTTAAACCTCTCATTTGAGGGTTTTTTTTTTTAGAAAGGTGTCTAATAAATTGGAAGAAGAGAAAGAGCTTCTTGAGCAGATCCACTTTCTCTCATTGTGAACAAAGTAGTGCACCTAACAAAATTTTTGCTTACCACAACTATACTATTAAAAGCACAAGAGTCCTGATGTATGCAAACTGGCAGCCAAACCCTACTCTAAACTGAGATTCACTTTTCATAAATACTGGACTTGAGGTGCAAGTTATTGTGCAAAACAGACCCCTATGGTTGATGATGCATGTTTATCTAGTAGGCAAAATGGAGATTACAAAGCCTTCAGAAATCAAATTGCTCTTCAGCTTACCAGCAGATATTCATATTCCTCCTCCAGCTGGTGAACAGCAGCCTTCTCACGCTGTGGACAAAAAGAAGAAAGATCTTGTATGGCTGGTAACAAGGCAAATAAAATCAAGAGCCACATACGGTGGTCTGGTTCAGGTCTCACAATGATTCATTATTAGAATCATTGGGATGTTTCATCTCTGGGTTGTTTAGTGGGACATACAACCCAAGAATTCTGTGCAGGTGAGGGAGAGATAACCCAGAGTTACAATGCACACTTTACATCTCAGTCATTCATTCAGGAATGTCGTGCCCTTGGGATATTTTATTTTTTTATGTTTCATTTTTTTGCTCTTCCTGTCTACAGTGGGGAAAACTGGGCAGCAGGAGCCAACACACTTGCTCATTTCTGCTCATTCATAAAAAAGCAGAAGTGTTAAAAGAAGAACCTGCACGGTTATAATGTCTGATCCAGGCCACTGTGATAGCCTGCTATGCTTGAGGAATTCCTGTAGAAATGAAAAATTAAGTCAAAATGCATGGAGGCTACGTTGCCCTGGGGAATTGCTCTATGTAATTAGGAAAACCAATCACTGGCAGAAAAGATGGGACTGTACCCCAGCAAGGAGGGCCTGGAGTGGAAATGAAAACAAGGGTAAAGGAAGTCATGTTACAGCTCTCTAGGCTGAGTGGTCAATACTGCATGCACTGATTGGACCCGTCAGGCCCAAGAACCTGCACAGTCCAATGTAGAGTGGAGACAGGAAGAGTCCAGTAGGGAATGGGTGAATATTATATAACAAGGTACCAAAATGTCTAATGCTGCCCCTAGATCCCTCTTGACACCAATCTCAAATTAGAAACTGTTTGCAATCATATAAAGAAGGAACAGATGGTGGGCAGAGAGGGAAATATGCTATTTTGTGCACTAATATTTCTCAATGAAATAGGCATGCCAGTGCTCAAAGGGAGCTTTCATCCAAACCAAAGACATCAGAGAGCAGTTTAAATGGGCAGGGGTCTTTAAAAAAAATCAGGGACTCAGAATCTGTATCTTACCAGATCGGTCTTGATTTTGTCCAAATGCCAGCGATAGTCTCCAATGGCATTATGAAATCTCCGGTGGTCAGCAATTTGTTGTTCAATTGCTGCTGCATCAAATCCCCATTTTACTAACTCCATTTCAGCCTGAAGGGCAAATGAGAGGAAGGAAGAGAGAGCACCATCATTTGTGGCTCATTTATATAAGGTGCCTACACAAGGCAAAATTTAAAAAAAAAAGACATTTAAGAAAAGGTTTAAATTCCAGTCCTACTTTGCCCTGTTGGACTTGGCCTAGCTGTTGCAAATGGTTTCCCTTGAGATGGATCATCCAGACATTGTGATTTCAAAGTGAAGTGGTGTAAAATCAAGAAAGAGTGACAACTTTCCAGACCCCCTTTCAGTCCACACAAAGCAGGGGAGAACACAACTAGATAAAAATGCAGCTTGACAGCACACCAGGCAAGCACAGAAATCTGATCAAGGTTGCTACAGACTCATTATGGTAGCCCAAAATTCAAGTTATCATGCCACCTTTGCGGAGAAGTTCATCTTCAACCCAGGTACTCTTTCTCACTGTATGCGCAAACCAACTGCCTGAGAATACAACTTGTACTCCTGCAGCCTCCACGTCCATTGCAACCATCTCATTAGGGCTTCCATATTTATATTAAAGATTTGTAATAATTTGATTCCAAGTTTCAGGTCCGTGGCTCATCCAAAAACATTCACGCACTTGGTTCTTGATGATATTTAAGGGCTATCTCCTAAAGGAATGCCTGTCTCTATATATCCCTAACAGACCACTCAGATCATCAACAGAGGCTCTACTTGTGACACACACACCGCTCATAAATTAAGGGGGAAATTGGCTAGAAAAAGGGCCTTCTCTGTTATTATACCTCATCTATGGAACTCTCTTCCAAAAGAGATGCGACTGGCAGCCTCCTTACTGTTTCCACTGCCAAGCAAGTACCTTTTAATTTTATTTCAGAATCATGCTTTTATTTGGTTTTTCCCTGGTTTTACTGTTGCTTTTATTGTTGTCTATATTGTTGTTTACTATCCTCCTATTTTCACATTTTATATTGCTTGGATTTTATGTGGTTTTTAGATGCCATTGTTCTATTTATTATATTTATGTTTTGTTGTTGTTTCTTGTGAGCCACCCAGAAAGCCCATATAAGTGCAATAAATAAATATGTGTTAATTTTGGCAGGGAGATGAACAGCTGATGCTTCACTGCTGGTACAGAAGTGCAGTAAAATCTTTAGCTCCTTCCTCCTCATGAAAACCATTTCACGTGTCCACTTTAGAAGAGGGGAACTGAGACAGATACTTTCTTCCTCATGGCCATCCAGAAATCTCAGAAGCTGAGCCTGGCTTAGGAACAGGGCTCTGCCCATTAGACTGAAGTGAAGTCTCTCCTCACCCCCACCTTTCAAAATCAGGTATGAGACTGAAGCAAAACCTTTCTGACTCAGCACAACTGTATCGCTCCAGCAAATTCCACCTGCAGCCACACCTGTGCTTCAGCAAAGTTGGAAGGGCTCCAGCAAGGGATGCCATTTTAGGCTGTTGGTCATCTAAAAGTTACAGCAGGTCCACCCTCCTCTCAGCTTGCTATGAGCCAAGAACAGCAAGGTGAAACATTCCCCTCTCTGTGTGAATGAATGGTGGCCCAATGCCAGCTCCCAGCACTACTCGAGAAACCCAGTGCAGGTGTGTAGAGTGTGAGTCCTCTTATCTGCAGGCCTGATGGGAAAGTAAACCAAAACACTAGCAAGAAAATGGAAGCTCCTGGGAGGAATTACAAGGGAAAACCTTCTCTTGGCACACTGCTTCATGGACAGAATACAAAGCAGAGAGGGGTCAAGATAAAATAAGGAGATTGAAGGAGGTTCTGGTTCCTGGCTCCTTGCTGAGCAGATCAGAGGAAGCTGCTCGAGCTGGTCTAGGGACTCTGGGATACAAGCAGCCAAGCTCACAGGGAGAGCAAACAAGAGTTTAACAGAGGCGGTCAAGGGGGAAGGTCCTTCCTCCGCCCCTTAGTTTTTCCTCCCCTTAATTTTCTTCCTTGTAGCACACTCCCTTTTACTGGTAGGACTGTGTTGTTAACCTTCAGGGATGGAATTTTAAAATGGTTTTATTTGGCAGGGCTCAAAATAATTTCTTGCAAGCATCAATATTTATGTCCCTGTCAAGAAATCATGGGAAGCCCTGTCAAGAGGGACTTCTAGTTATGGCTAGTTGCTTCCTCTTTTCTGAGTCCCCCACTTCTTTGTTCCTGTGAAAAGGAAATTGCAAGAACAAAGTGTTATGAGTATACTGTTAGTCTCAGCCTCTTAGATGAGTATTTTAAGCTTGTAACCAATGCATTCAAAAAGATCGACAACAACTCGGGCTCAGAGGAAGGGGTTTTGCTTTCCACTCCTCCAAACCTTATTCTGAGGCACAAAAAATAAACCCAAAGTAAAGTAGAACTAGCTAGAATAATGAAGGAGGGGAAATCAATCCATTTTAAATGTTTCTTCCCTCCTCACCAAACCCCACCCCCACTGAAATGACACACGATAAGTATGTGATATAACTCTGAAGTTTTGAGAATCCATTCTGATGTCGGAATTTACCTTCTGCTGCCTCATCCAATTCAGACAGTCACTGGTGACACGTCTGGTGTATTCATCCCATCCTGAGCCACTCTGAGATGTATAACCACCACCTTTGGAGCTAGCCCTTCGGACACGGGGTACGCTGATGGCCTTGTAGAGGGCACGCATCTGCTCTTGAAGCTGAAGCAACCTGAAAAAGAAACATGCTGATAAAGGGTAAGCATAGCAAAGGGGCTATAAAGCCAAGTACAGGGAGAGTGAGCGCATACAGGCATGGGTGGAAACTGAGCTACCCTACACTTTTGCAGGCCAGAAGTTTGTAATCAAAAAATCTGGAACAAAATAAGCCATTATTTCCCAGTGCTGTAAACATATCTTGCAGCATCCAGTGATGGTATACTACTGAATATGTGAACGATGACCTAAAAAGCCAGATCCAGCAAGATCATTCACTGTCCTTCATTTCTTCTTAAATAATTTTATTTTAATAACAAAAAATTGGGAAAGAAGGAAGAAAAAAGAACAAATGGAAAAATAAACAAACATAAAAGTTACCAAAAGGAAAAAAAAAAGATTTCTTCAACCAATCTTGCCTAGAATATCAGATATTTATGGGAAATCACTCTAATTCAACAATCACTGTCCTTTTTACAGAATCCTAATTTTTGCACGTCATTAAAATTCATTGTAAATTCTTCTAATCTCATACAATTTTCTCAGAATGTTCCAATCCATTTTACCTATACTTTTCTGTTATTATCCTCAGTAAAAGTGGCTATGTATAATACAATTTCCACTTGTTTTCTTTGACTGGTTGTCCTTCTACTTAGTTAATTAGTCTCACCATTGCAACATAATCAACTAACTTATTATTTCAGTGTTTAATAATTAAATTTCTTCTTTTTTTCTAGGAAGCTACCAAATAAGTGTGTGCACTGAAAATACTTCCCTGGCTTAAACAGTATGGACAGGGGAAATCCTAATGCTGAAAATGAAGACTGAGATTGGAACAAGCCTTATCAGATGTGTGATGCTCCCAGAGAATCTCCATCATTGTCTCGTGGCACTGGCATGAAAGAGGAGGCATGATTTGCCCTTGGCAAGCCTGGAAAGCCTCAGGGGAGAACCCCTTGACTGCATGAGAGCCCAGAATTCCTCGTATCACTCATGGGTACCTCTTCTGATTCAGTATCAGGCCTAGGCTAGGCCTAGACAGTCTGGATGACAGATTCCACATGCTACCTGGGCCTCTTTGGGAGAAAGCCAGGATATAAACACAATGCCAGTACCTTTTCTGGTACAGATCGCAAGGCTGACCCATTTGTCTCATCTCCCTGATCAACCCATCGAGGATGTCCATTTGTTCATTTGCTTGGCCAAAGCAATCCTCCAGCTCCCGATTCCTGCTGATCTGGATGCCATCTCCGTATTTCAGTTCCTAAGGGGCAAGAAATAAAGCACAAGTTACCATATTGCTTTTGTGGTTCCGTTGCCTTAAGTTAATTCTTTGTATGTGTGATTTTCACTTTTTAACTTGCGTTAACTACCCAGAGAGCCTGGGCTATTGGGCAGTATTAAATAAATAAATATTTAGTTCAAAATGCGTAAATATACATGTGATGGTATTTGACAGAAGGCTCAACACATGAAAATAATCTGCTATAGTTCTCCATTAATCCAGATACATAAACAACGTACATATAAATTCATATGATGTTCTAGACTCCATGCTTTAAAATACTTCAAGTTTTCTATTAGTGATGCACTGAAGCCATGAATGTTCCAACACACACACACACACACACACACACACACACTCACTCACTCAAATATACACACAATAACTGTGTTCACATGATGCAGCGACCCACTGGGAGTTGCTACCCCAACGAGTGAACCAGCTAGTCTCTTGCTTGGCAAGAGCACCAAAATCCCCTTGCCATTCTTACTACATTTGCTTGGACACCCACCAGTGCCAGCCAGGCCTCCAATGACTAAGCAACACTATGGGCATATTTCGCACTGGCTAGAGGCCCCCTACTGTGATTGCGAGACCTTTCCGCTCACTGTTGTCTTTTTGTCACTTAAATGTTTTTTCCAGGGATCAAGAAATTCAATTTGGCAGCTGAGTTTTGTGACCCCCATTTTGACAGCCATGAAAGTGCCCGAGCAGCAAACTGGAGGGGCTCTCAGTGGTTGGGAAACAATTTTTTAAACATCCTATTCTTTTCCTCTTTCCTTTCTTCCTCTCTCCTTTTTTTTCCTGCAATGGTCCAACTGCAGTTGTGCACAGTTCTGAGAGTGCAAAGGTGGAAGACTTGTTTAGGTCAATGTCCCGGGGAGGGAACTGCTCTCATAGTTCAGCAGGACTCAAAGAAGTATTTGGGGGGGGGGGGAGGTTTCTTCTCTTTGGTTCTTCAGCAGCTGTCAAAAGACAAGATGTCAAGGGAAACCAAAAATGCAAGTGATCTTTGCTTCAAGAAAGGGGTGCTAGAATTTCATGGTAAGATTATCCTGTTGTTTCTCTCGGTGTGTGTTTGCATGCATGCACACACATGGCTGTCCATGTAAGTTCACTTTTCCAGTTTTTCCCAGAAAGAGCTGTCAATTTTGACAGTCAGCTGTCAAAACTTCAGATCCTTTTAAAGGGTTTTGTTTGGCAGGGCTCATGATTTTTTCCAGACGTTAATATCTATGCCCCAGTCAAGAAATCATGGGAAGCCCTGTCAAGAAACTAATTCTAAAAAGAACTGCAGTATTGACAGCTAGCTGTCAAAAAGCTAGTTCCTGATAAAAGGGGGAGACTTGCATTTTTCTTTTATTGAGGACCTTGAAAAATGTTTTATTGAGTCTTGAAAAATGCATCTAGACTTAAGATGGTCTAGTGCAAAGAACAAAAGGATCTTGCCAAAAAGGGAGTGTAAATTCCACCAGTAAAGATCACTAATGTGTTTGGTTTTTCTTGACAGCTGTCAAAAGGCAATCTGACAAAGGAAACCAAAGAAAAGGGAGGTCCGTTGGAGCTCCTTTGGATCAACATCCAGGGCTGGCTTCTGTTGCATTATGGCATCAGGTAACCCTCCAGGACAACAACCCAACCAAGACTGCCAACTGCCATACTTACAGAACTGTGCACCTCCACTATTACAAAGGCACAGCAATATATTTATTTATTAATTTATTTATTTAGACAACTTATATGCCGCCCCCTTCACATAAGCCTCAGGGCGGTTTCCAATCATAAATAAATTCCATATACAAATGCATAAAAAAGTGGAGACATCCTGGTGAAAATTTAAAATCAATAAAATCAATAAATAACATTAACAATTAAAATAACATTTAAATAAATACTTAATTAAGAAGAATTTTAACAAATTGTTTTCCATGCTGCTGGGGTGCCACTATCAGTGGCTGTCAAAATAGATTATGGAAGCTGGTTGTCAAATCTGTTTTTGCAATCTAAAAAGAAAAAAAAAGCTAAAAAGATAGAAAGATAGAAAAGTCACAGTGAGTCAAAAATGGCTCACAGTCACAGCACGGACAGGGAGACAAGTGGGATATCTCCTGAAGGACTGAGCAGCAGGAAAAAGTGAGGAGGAGGCAAACGACCCAGGATGGGCCTGATTACCTACTAGCTATTCTACAGTTTGTGTAGGGAGCAACCAGTCCACCTTGGCTTGTTTCCAGATTAGCTTGGTGTGATGTGTGGATGAACCCACAGAACTATCACTTTTCTAACAGTTCTTGTTGTTAGCATTTACCTTGTTTTAGATACTTTTTAGATATCCAGCTACAGAAACAGAAATGAGACACGTGTTCTAAGGAAGAAGCTTTTAGTCCAATCTCTTGGGAAATTATCCAGTGTAGACTCTATTGAAACAAATGGGAACTGAACAAGAGCACAAAAAATCCTGGGACATTTTGCCCACTATTTACTTGCACAGTTCTGCCCTTCCAGTATTTCTGGAAATTAAAGGTACTAAGGAATCTCAAGAAAATTGATTCAAGCTGAATGAAGGCTATCAGTGCATGCTAATCATAGTGGGTATGTGTTACCACCAGTATCAGATAGACCAATGTTCAACTCGATATAGGGCAAATTCATATGCTTCTGTTGTTACAAGGTAGCAGGAATAGACCCTCAAGGAAACTGAGATCATACAAGTGAAGGAGAGGCAGCAAGGGCTGAGCAAGAGATGAACAGTGCCTCTGAATAGTTATTCACAAGGCTGGCTTAAATTTGGCTGTCGACAAGCAATCCATTCATTGATTCATCTTTTTCCTTGAGGGTTCCACCCATCACTGCTTGGCTTAGGCTACCTGCAGCCCTTCAGAATTTTCAGCCTACAGTTCCCACAATCCCTTATCATTGGCTCTGCTTGCTAAGACTGGTGGGAGTTGTAGGCTAAAACCCTAGTTGACTTCCCTGAAATTAATCAAGTCATTAATGTAGCTGTATTCCAAGTATTCAACTTGAACAATGTTTACAAATATATATCTGTGTTGCACCATTTGTATGTACAGGGTTCTCCTAATGCATCTTTAAGGTTTTTATCTTTGTTAACTGCCCAGAAAGTTTCAGCTAACAAGCAGCACAGAAATGCAATAAATGAAATAAATGGATACTGACAAGAAACAGCTGCCCTAGGCCAAGGGGGGCTATTGGTACATTCATTCTAGCATGGTCTATTGTGGCGGGCAATGGTTCTTTGGCAGGGAAAGATCTGACCCATTTCTTGCAATCTGATCCTTTCCAATTGGGACTTTCTGCCTGCAAGGCAAGGGGTCTAAATCAGAACTGCAGTCCCTCCATAGCTTCTTGTTAACAAACTGTTCTACAGCACATTTCCAAAGTGCGTTTCTTCAAAGCAGTGAAAACAACAGCAATCTTCCCACTCCCCGGTCAGCACTTGGTTAGGATCAAGAAAGAAACACAACTTACAGGCTGCACTATAAGTTCAGCACGCATGAGGCAATCCGAACAATTTTGCAAAAGCTCCTGAATGGTGTTCTGACGTCTAGACATTGTACCGGTTCCATTTTGACTAAAGGAGAAATGGGGAGGGGGAACAGGGAGAGGGAGAGAGGAAGAGAGCGTCAGTCACATGGCTGTAATTACTCATGAATTTCAAACACAATTTCCAGAGGAGAGCAGCACACCTTATTCAGATTAAAGTGTTGTAACCTGTGTGTTGGCTTCACAGAGATTCTCTTGATATGCGTTGCCTCCCTTTCTTTTGACTCACAAGGGAGCCATAATGCTGAGTCTGCAGCCTCATAAAAAGCCACTGTGGGAACATGCTTTAGGTTGAAAACTCCAGCCTGTAATGTGGTTTCCACCAAGGGATCAAACACAAGGATGTGTCGTATATGAGAGAGAAAGTGCTTAGCCTTAAATATTAGGCAGGAAAACACACGGGCTAGGTTTATATACCACAACAAACACCCGTGCAAGGTTGCCATGGTACACAGTTTTTTACTATGATCTACTTGACACATAATCAAGTAGTTTTTAATTTATCATGGATTCCAACCTCCCTGCTTAGTTCTCCCACTTTTGGCATGTATCCCATCAGCCACAGTGCCTGAAATTCAATCCCAAGTCATATCACTCCCTGCCTCTTTCTCACTGGTCCACATATCAAGGTTAGATGGCTGGAATGGCTTCTGCAACGGACACTCTTTCCAGAGGTCTCTGTGGTAGCTGCATACCAGAACTGTGGAAACCCTGTCCTGGATTCAGACAGCACAACAAGCCATGGTGATACAGAGAAACTATAGTGCAAACTATTGCTTTCTATCATGGTTTCTAAAGACCAAATTTACCGTAATGAAATACCATGACTGAGTTCAGACAACAGAACAGATCAATAATGGCAAAAATCCAACATGGCTCATCATGTTTTCTGAACCCAGACAAGAAGTGTCTGCACAACCATAATAGTTGAGCACAGAAATTCACGGTCTCTTCTCCCTTCATAACCATTTATCTTATTATCCCATCTTTTACGTAATACAGCCCAAAGGCCTAGATACATGATTTTATAATAAGGGCCTCTGTATCAATATTACAGGGTAAGCAGATGATGCAAACTGCTAGCACTGCTATCTGCCTTTAATGGGTTTTCTAGATCCAGTTGGGGAATTTGGATTTCCTAATTCCACAGAAAGCCCAAATTGATGGCATGAGCGTGCCTCCACCCTTTTTGCTTTCCAGCAGACCAAGGTAAAAGGTTTTTAAAATACAGACCTTTATTCAGCTAGGCTGGTATGCAATGCAAAGTGAGCAATAATGAAGTTTTACTGTTTTTACTGTTAACAAGTTGCATCTATCAAAGTAGTGATTCCTCTGACTGGTGGAGATAGCTCTTGCCCATCTCAGGAGTTGGTTCCAAGCTGGGTCCCCCTCTTCCCTTCCCCTCCAAAAGGGGCTGGCTCCACCCTCAGTGAGGCTCATGCTGTTTGTGGGTCAGACGGTGGGAATGTCTGGCATAGAATTGGTCTACTTGATTGATTTGACAATGAACCACTGGACCGGATAAACTCATAACCCTCCCCCTCCAACTCTTGATTTTGAGCCAATTACTAACTTTCTGCTTAACCTAACTCAATGGCTGTTGCTAACACAAAAACTGTGTGTGGTGCGGGTAACACACATCTTATTACTGAGTTCCTTGGCTGAAAGAAATACTAGATTCTTTCAGTAATTAGATTCCATAATAATTGTATTTTAATTCACAATAAAGTAATTTGCTCATGTATGCAAAAATCAAAGTGACTCCTGGTTTTGCAACAACATTAATTTCTAAGGCACAAAGAAGAGACTTAGTAGCATCAAAGTGATGACTCCACTGTGTGATTAATAACATTCTGTATTAATCACCACATTAGTCTAAGTTATGAAAACATGCTCTGGAAACTATGCTTCTGATAAGAATGGCTTGGCTAATCTGGTCCACTTAGAAAATCATCAGGCAATAGCTAAAAAAAATAACAATATGGTGGTGCAGGAACAAGTAATTTTGACTAACTTTTTTACTGTATCTCGTAAACAAATAATACCACTGTGTTAGACTGGTTTGCCAGCATTTGGTCTTGTTGGGATGCAGCCACTATGCAAGCCCATACTAGCTGATTATGGGTGAGGTGCTATAAACTAGGAACCACACCTCTAGTGGGATCAGAGCTCCCAAACAAGCTCAAGCACTTCCCAAATGGAAACACCTGCCATTGAAGCAGACACTTTAGCAAAGTAATTTCCAGGGAGTAGCTAACTTCTGTACCAAGTCTAGCCTGCTACATATCACATTCATTTGTACTGAACTATTCTGCTTAAAAGATATAAAGACCCAGTTCTATCCTGTCAACTCAGACTGACTAGAGCTTTTGTAGATACAAGTGTAATTTCTCTCTCTCTCATATGAATTAATATTATGTATTTCAACACAGTGAGCAAGAACATTTCTAACCTGGTTCCATATGAGCATCTTTTCATATGCTCATCATGTGATGAATGCAGCAACCTAGATAGATCAAACAGTACCTCAATTCACAGGAACTCAAATACAATCTCCTTTTTAGTTAAATGCCTATTATTTTTCTGTCATATTTTAGAACAGGCACACAACCATCTTCATATATCACAGCTTCCACCTCTGAACTTCAGGGAAGTTCCAAGTGTGGTCTAGCCAAGAAAGGCAGTAGGAAAAGAAGATGAGGTGAGTTTGTAGGTGAGTAGAATAACACATCTATCCTCATCACCTACGAGGGAAAGGTCCAGTTGTCAAATGCTCTCCTCAAGCAGGCTTGCCGGGCACCTACTTTATTGTTATTTTGGTGCCAGGAAAAGAAAGACCTTTTTGAATGTTCCCTGGATTTTAAAATCTTGCTTTGGCTTTTAAACCAATTTTAGCTTCCTAGCTTTGTTCCCTGATCTTTGTTTGTGATTTTCATTTGGAGTTTCATTTCATGCTAAACCACATTTTGTTGCATTACTCTTATTTCATTCAGTGACATGCTCTAAAATACTGTAAAGCAGCCTATCCATAAATAAATAGATATACTGCTTTGGCTTTCTAGACTTTCTAGACTCTATTCGCCTGCCATAAATCATCAAACACTTTCCAAGTATGCTACCCATGTGGGTTCCGTTCTGTGTAGTGTTCTTCTTGTGAAACATGACATATTGCTAAATGCATTATTTTTCAATGAGGTAGTTCCTCTTTTCAGCTGAAAGTTATTAAGTTATTAATTGAAGTGCAAAAGCTTGAATAAATCAGCCTTACATTTGGAATTATGTTCAATAAAGAGTCATCCTTACCATGACTTTTGATGTGATTAAAGACATCGAAGATTAAAGAGTAGCATAATAAACTGTTTCAGATGAATGCGCCTTCCCTGCTGATGTTCCAGTATTTACCACATCAGATGCTATCCTAGTTTTCAGTGGGTTTCTTTCATCTGTTAAGTTCCAGCTTTAACCACACAAGGGTCAGTTCAAATAAAGTCATGCACCACACAGAATTAGAAGGGTAAAGCCCATCAAAAAAATCATGTGAGAATCAGTCGTGCATTACATCCAAATCATGCCTATGGACAATGGTTTATTATTTTGCAATGGAGACTCAGGCTCACATACACTCCCTCCCTCCCTCTCCTCCTCTGGCACAGTGGCAAATCAGAACTTCCTACTGCTGCTTCTGATTAACAACTACTTGTTTTATCCAAACTCATACAAACTGTGGTTAGTCTTTACTGTGTTCTACTGAAACAAGCCAGCTTCAAACTGTGGATTATGATGCTGGCTTGTTTCAACAAATCATAGTTAAGCTAAACCATAGTTTAGGGTTTGGATATGAAGCTAACTATGGTGAACATTAAAAGGGCAGCAAAAGCTCCCTATTTCCTCTTCATGATCACTAGACAGGAAAGGTGAGTGGAGTTTGCTGCATGAGGCTCACTTTGGCTACTTCTTATAACAATAATTACAGTTTAGTGTTATGTCTGAACACAGTCTTTGACTAAGATTCTGCAAGCATTTGGCCTTAACAGTTCCCAGAACTGGCCAGCCAGCTCAGATTACAAAGACAGGATAGACAACTACAAAAAATGTTCATCTGTGGTAGGGAAAAGAAACATAGGCAACATTCCAATATGATTTATCAATGAGCCACAACTAAGGTTTATCCCTGCATTGTTGGATGGGATGTCTGTTAGCTTGAATACTGCAGAACTTAAGAAAACATGGCACTTCTGTGACTTAGTTTTCAGAGCTTGCTGTCGTCTGCACAAATCTAGAAACCTGCTGGGCCATGTCTTTCCCTTTGAATTAAAGCTTTGGAGAGGGAGAGTAGAAATGTGGACTGGCAAAGAGGTCTACAGGAAAATATTTCATAGCCATCTATTTCTCTAGTATAAATGGAAACCCAACCAATATCCAGAATACACTCTGATGCAACAGAGCCCTACAGTTGTGATTTCTAGATCAAATTTACAGTTGTGATTTCTAAATCAAGTAGTCACAAAAGAACTTATGAATAAATTAGTTGCAGTGGATGTTGAGGAAACTGTGTCTTCTCTAGAGAAGACAAGAGCATTCCAGATAGGACCACAGGTAGTCAATGGATACTGTTCCAGCACTTAAGTAACTGACAGGAACAAGCAAAGATAGCTTTCGGTGGGTTTAGTGAACAGCCCCTACTATATCACACTGAACACACATTATCTCCACTGTGAAAATAGTTCTTCTTTCATGCACTTTACCACCAAAGCCTTACAATCACATAATGTTCACTTTTGCTTACAAAAAGTCACTTGCATGACTTTCATGTCCCTGTCTGCAAGTCCTTCTTGCAGAAGGCCTTCTGCAAACCCAGAGTGCCACACAGAAAGAATATTGCAAAAGGAACAGTACCAGCATTTGAGCAAGCAAGGGCTTTTCTCCATTTATGTTGACTATACTGACTCCAACCCTGGCCTTGCCTCAACCATGTGCTCTGGGCATTGTACACAATTGTGTGCGGCCCCCAAACGGCACAATCTCAAT